GCCAGAAGCTCACACTAGCAGCACCCAGCCGGGCATGGTGGTGCACACCTGCAGTCCCAGCGCTTGCGAGACAGGCAGGAGGAACGACGGGCGTTTGAGGCCAGCCTGGGCTACAGAGACCATGTCACAGAAAACACTACTGCTATTTGTGCTAGTGTTACTGCTGCTCCTAATAATGACAGTAGCAGCTCCTGTTTCTTCGCCACGCAGTTAGTGTGGATTGTGTCATCTGTGTCTCACAGCAGTCCTGGGAGTCATGTGCTGTTGGAGGCGCAGAGAGGTTAAGTGACTTTCCTAGGATATTCAGTGGCCTAGTTCAGGGCTACACTCTGCCTACCCGAGAGGAGGGAATTCAACAGCCAGCGTGGTCGGCTGGAGATGGAGGAAGCGGAGGGAGCGGGGGGAGCCTGGAGGGGCTTCCCTGGCTGGGAAGGTGACACAGGGACCAGGAGGACTGAGACTGCCTGCTGAGGACACGGAGGCTCAGAGCAGGACAGGTCCAGCCACAGTTCAGGGAAGCACATATTTTGTTATATTATTATTATTATTATTATTATTAATTATTATTTCAGTACTGGGGATTGAACCTTGAGTCTTTTTTTAAAATGTATTTGGTATAGGGTCTCACTACCCTCTCTACGCAGCTCAGACTCTAGTGATCCTGTTTTCACCCTTCTCAGTGCTGGGATTACAGCTGTGCACCACCACACCCGGTCTCCGTGGCCCAGCTCAGTGCACCTTGGAGCCGGGCTGGCGCAGCATGTGGTGCCAGGGATCAAACCCCAGTCTCTGCGCTTGCCTAAGCAGGCACTTCGTCCACGCAGCTATCTCGCTGGCTCTTGAACCTGGAGTCTTCATGTTAAGCTACATCATCAGCCCTTCAGTTTTATTTTGAGACACATTCTCTTGAAATTGCCTAGGCTAGGCGCCAGCCTGAGCCCCTCCTGCCTCAGCCTCCCAGAGGTCTGGGATTATGTTCATGTGCCTGCAGTCTGAGTGGCCTATCTTCCTGAGTGTGAGCTCAGAGGGACCCAGGATTGGGTGGCCTGGCCAGCATAGGGAGTCACCGTGCGACAGGGCCTACTCTAGGGCTGCTACCTGGGGGTGGTGGGGCAGGCAGCAGGTGACCAGGACTGGCCCCCACCAACCTGCAGGGTGGCTGGGAGCCCAAGGGCAGTGGGCCTGGCCAGTGGTGGTGCCTCCTGGCCTCATCAGTGCTGCAGTGACTGTCATTGTAGGGACATAGGGCTCCCTGGACCTGAGGCTGAGTTCTTGCTAATGCTGACAGTGGGCTTGGGACAGTCTAGTTCTTTTCTTTCTCCTCTCCTCTCCTCTCCTCTCCTCTCCTCTCCTCTCCTCCTTCTCCTCCTTCTCCTCCTTCTCCTCCTTCTCCTCCTCCTCCTCCTCCTCCTCCTCTTTCTCTCTCTCTCTTTTTGAGACAGGTTCTTGCTTTGTAGTGCAGGCTGGGCTTAAGCCCATGGCGATTGTCTCGCCTCAGGCTCCAGAGTGCTGGGATGACAGGTGGGTGCCGCCCTGCCTGGCTTGCAACCCAGTTCAATTAGGGGCATTTGGTGCTGGTTCTGGCCTGGATGGAGGGCTTAGTAGTTCAGGATAGTTATCTCTATTTAGCAGGTAGGGAAACTGAGGCCCAGGGACAAATGGGAAGGGGGAAGGGTTGGGTTAGGGTGTGAGGCTTGTGTCTGTCCTGAGTGCACTCACACATGGATTATCAGTGCGTCTGGAGGGATCCTGAAGGGCGGCAGAGGGGTGACTGATGTCTGGTGCAGCCACCACTGCACACCCTACAGTCACCGCGTATGGCCCTGTGTCCCCATTGGCTGAGGGGGGCCATTGTGACAGGGCCAAGGGGCTGGGAGCTGGGTCTAAGAAAGCAGGGTATTCCTGGTGGAGACAGGGCCCCGTGCTGAGGGGCGGGACGGGCGCACCTGCACAGGTCTGCTTTCCCAGGGAAATGGCCCTTTGCATAGCACCGCCTCGCCTGGGTCCTGGGGCAGACACGGTTCTGAACCCAGCTCCGGACGGAGGGCTGCTGGCGCGTGCACGTGGACACTGCATCTCAGCACGTGAGCAAGTCACTTTGTGTGGCATCCAGCTCCTTGTCGATGGAAATTTGTCAGGTCCCCGTTTGTTGGGGTATTTTATATCTTTCAATGGCAATTTAGATTTTTCTGCATGCGGTATTTATGCATCTGTTACAAGGTGAATTTCTGACCAGAAGCCTTTTGTCCTGCTGTTGCTGTAAATGTCTGTTTTTTTTTCCCCCCGCGGCTTCTCTGCATATTGATCTTGTATCTCGCAGTCTTGAAACTCGCCTTGTTCTGCCAGTAGATGCCTCTTGCCCCCGCCAGTTGCTGAGCTATCCTGGATGCAGCTGGACGTCTTTGCAGCTTGATCTTGATTTTCCCTGGTTTTTGTTTGTTTGTTTTGTTCTTTTAGTTCTATGAAATGCTAGAGCTAGAGGTGGCTGTGGCTCCTTGGTGAGCGCTTGCGCAGCATGCACGAGGCCTTGGGTTCCAACCCCAGCACTACAAGATGAAGAGGGGGCTTGCGCTTAGAACAGTTCCCCTGCCTGGTATCCAGGGGTCACCAGGGCCTTCATGGTCTGTGAGCTGATGGCTGAGGGTAGTGACCAATGCTGTTGCTGCCAGTGCTGCCTCCAGGTGCATCCCGGGTGCCCCCCTCAGTGGCTGCAGCCAGAGGGGACGGCATTGCATGACAGATGCAGTCATCTGGGTCCAGTCTGGCGCTCCTTGGTGGCCGCAGCCGTGGCAGTGTGTGTCTGATTTTCCACCCAACCCTTTCGGGCTCTGTACCCATCTCCTTCTAGGAGGTGGAAACAGCTGTCTCTGCTGCGACAGCAGCCCCAGACCTTTGTTCTTTCTCCAGTCTAGAAGGGAGAGCAGCACTGTCCTTCTATGGTTTCTCTCTTAAAGTCTAGGCTGTGCCACACCCCATGCCTGGCCTGGTGGCCGATGATGTCACCGTGTGCCTGTCTCCCTGGCTGCAAGCTGTGGGTGCATTGTTATGAGTCACCTGCTTGGAGTCAGTCCCAGGCTACCTTTTCCTGGGCCTTGCTTCTGCAGCCACTTCAGGGGTGGACAGCAGGCCGCTGTGGTGGCGGGGGCACGCGAACCTCTGTTGCTTCTTGGCTGTGGTGGGCTTCTCCAGCCCCAGAGATTCTAGGAGCAACAATAAGGAAGTCGGGCTGGGGAAATAGCTACGTGGTCTAAGCTCCTGCCTGGCAAGTGCAAGGAACTGGATTTGATTCCTAGTACCACATACTGTGCTGGCTCTGGAACGCTGGGCGTGGCATACTGGCCACCGAAACTGGGTGTGGTGGCACACGCCTGTAATCCCAGTGCTTGGGAGGCTGAAAACAGAATCACGACGAGTCTGAGACCCTGTAGACCCTGCACCAAATACATTAAATAAATAAAATAACAAAGTCAAAGGACGTTGTGGGGCAAGAGCTCTCAGCTTTCTGGTGTGGACAGGATGAACTCACTAAAAAATCCAGGCTATTACTGTGAGAACGTAGAGGGTTAGGTTGGATGTGGTCACGCACATCCTTAGTCCCAGAACTCTTGAAGCAGGAGGATCCCAAGTGTTAAGCCCTGCCTGGACAGTTCAGTGATTTCCCGCTCAGAAGTGCCCCCAGGCCCAGACCTTGTCTTCCTCGCCACCTGCACCCTTAGCTGGCTGTTGCCGCTCCAGCCCTCACTCCTGTGTTCACAGTGGCAAGGGAGATGCGCTGGCCTACCTATGCTGCTCCCTTTCCTTCAGTTCCTACCTGCACTTCTGAGGCCCTGCTGCCCGGGTGGAGGTCACATGGCCAGCTGGGAGCTGCAAGGGTTGCTGGAAAATGGGGGAAGGAGGGTCATGATTGGCCCGTGAGTGGGCGCACAGGGTCAGGTGAAGAACACGGGCTGTGCTAGCAAGGGCCCCGGGAACACCTGGCCTGGAGGATCTGGGTGTGATGTGTCAGGGTGGGAGCTGGGAACATGGGTGACTCTTCCCACGTGGCTTGCCTTTCTTACTCCAGAGAAATAGCAGACATTGAAATAGGTGTCGCTTCCCAGGACACTGAGGAAGTGCTGTAGTGGGGAGCTGGTCTTTGTCCCATGCTGACAGCAGGCACCTGGCCTTTTTGGTTTGGCTGCTCTGATGTTATTTCACAAAAAGAAGGGGCCTGCCCCTTAGCTCAGTTCTTTAAGTGGCTGCTTCAACAAAGCAGTCAGGCTCTGGTTGCTGTGGTTCGATTCCCATGCCCTGAAGGTATTTGGAACAACAACAAAAAAATCCTTCAAATTGAAACTGTCCTACCAGTTTGGTTTGAAACTGTCTCATTGCTATTTGTTTCTCAATAAAATTATGGAAAAAAAAAACCAACCAAACAAAAAGAAAACATTTGAGGACCTTGGTGCATCAGGTTCCCTCCTGAGAGATGGAGGAGAACGGAGAGGCTTGGTGACTGGCTGTGAGACACAGCCTGGAGGAGGCTCAGGCCGATGGAAGGGAAGGGCAGGGTGGTGGGCAGGGAGCCCTGCAGGGGCAGGAAGGTCCGACCGGGGTCCTCACCCAGGAGGGCCGAAGCCCATGCTCCTGTAACAAAAGGCTGGGCATGGTGGCACATACAAATCACAAGTTTAAGCCTAGCTTGGATAGTTTAGTGACTTTAGTGAGACCCTGTTGCAAAATAAAACATAAGAGCTGGGGGTGTAGCTTGATGGCCCTGGGTTAAATCCCCACCACCCTCCCCACAAAATTTGCTCGTTTACTTATTTAATGGTACTGAGCACCTCGAGACAGAGCTGTATTCAGTTGCCCACGCAGCACTTGAACTGGTGATCCTCCTGCCTCAGCCTCCCCAGCTCTTGATACTACAGGCCTGTGCCATGAGGCCTTGCTACAAGTTTTTTTTTTTTTGGTTTTGTTTTGGCTTTTTTTTTTAGTGTTTTGAGGCAGGGTCTCACTGCATAGCCCGGGCTGGCCTTGAACCTGAAGCAGTACTCTTGCCCAGCCTCAACAGTGCTCAGCTCACACAGTCTGTAACTTTTATTTAATCAGTGTCTCATGTGACGTAACGGCCTGTGGACAAGAAGACTGCAGATCCAGGGAGGGCTGGTGTGGCTGAGCTGTTCGGCACTTGCCTGGAAGTGTCCCGTCCAGACTTGGAGCCCCTGTCTCTGTCCTCCAGAGATGTCAGAAGCAAGGCCCATCACCAGGGACCTGCTCATGGAGACTCAGCTGCCCGAGCTGCTCCCCAGGCCTCTGCTGGCCCAAGGGGCCATGCGCATGACACAACCCTTGCAGGGAGAGGACCTTGGTTCCTCTGGGGTCACTGGCCTTGTGGAATGCCTGGAAGGCAGGTAGGTCCCAGGGTGCTGGCTTGGGTAGCCTCACTCTGTGCCTCAGCCCCTCACACTTCCAAAGTGGCCACCAGGGGCCTGGACACTGGCTATTGGGAGAGCGGCCCCCTGGCCTTAGGGGCCAGACAGGAGCCTTTCCCGCCTCTGTCCAGAGCCAGGCCCCTCCCAGTCCCATGGTAGGGCCGCTGGGCTGGCACCTGTGCCCGAGTTCCAGGAGCCTGGGACTTCCCAGATGAACTGCTGCCTCACCTGTGGGGAATGTGGGCGGGCTCCCAAGTCCAGAGGGCCCGGATTTAGTCCAGGGCGTGTGCCTGCGTATGTGTTTGGACGCATGCATAGCACCAAGGGCATGTGTCCACCCCATCTCAATCGGGGACTTGGGTTAGAAAGTGGGGTCATGTGCTTCTGACCCCCTCCATTCCTACACGGAGATGACTGGTTTCAGGATTGGGGACTTTGTGTAGGGGTGGGTGTCACAGGAGAGCTAGTGGAGGTGGAAAGCCAGCCTCACACCTGCCTGTCCATTGTCCACTCACCCTGCCAAAGTCTGGGGGGTGGTCCTGGGAAACCAAGGGCGCCGACTTTCCTGGGGTTTAGTGATCCCTGAGTGTGGGAAGGTTCTCACAGCTGCCCCAATGTGGGTCTCGGGCGCCCCCGAGTGGCCCTCAGAGAACAGCTGTACGCGGGGTGCGGGGAACCTCACCCAACACAGCTCCGGCCACCCATCCCTCCCCACAGCAACCTGGTGGCCCTGCGCTTGGCCTGCATCGGCGATGAGATGGACCTGCGCTTTCGGAGCCCCCGCCTGGCCCACCTGCCTGGGAGGGCCATGCACAGGTAAGCCGCTGGGCCCCAGGTGGGTGGAAGGCCCAGGAGCAGAGTCCCGGGCTCCTGGAACTCAAGCACAGGTGCCAGCCCAGCGGCCCCCACTCCCAGGCCCCCACGAACCCTTGAGCTCCCCCAGCCTTGGAAACGGCCGAGCCCCGGGCCTCCTGGGTGCAGACTTGGAGGGCAGTGTGGGCGAGGGGCCCCAGGACAACGGCAGGGGCTGACCGGGGGAGGGGGCTGCAGTCACAGCTGTGCACCAGCCCAGCATCTCGTGGCCCAGGCGAGGAGGAAGCAGGAAGTCGTAGAGGACCTGTGTGCAGCAGACAGCGCGGAGGTGCAGCGGGAAGATCGGCACTCGCCCCTCACAGGCGCCCACCCTGGTTGTCTTACAGCCTGGCCGTCACTTACAGCCAGACGGGTCTCTGGGGTGTGCTCAGAAAGCTGACCCACGCTGTCACTAGCCTCGGGGACAACCTGCGGGCCTGGGGACGCCCGGCCCCCCGCACCTGGGTAAGCGCCCAGGCCTTGGCCGACCCCTGCCACCCTATGGGGCCGCCTTCCTGCCCATCCCTCTGCCTCACCCGGCCCTCACGGTCCCCTCTGTCCCGCAGGTGTCCCCTACGCGGCTGCTGCCCGCTGTGCTGCTGTTGCTGCTGCTCCTTGGGACACTCCGGCTGCTGCTGCAGTGAGGCCGGCGGGTGGGCGGGGCTGGTCCCTGTCCCTCGGCCACCGTGGCCCCCAGGTGGCCGCCGCCTAGCCGGCTTTATTCTTTTTAATGGTAGTATTTTCTGAAGATCATTTTTATATTTAAGCTCATGATAGTGCTGGAACACTGCTGAGATCTCGCACCGGAGTTTGCACTGTTTTTCTAGGGGATGAATTCTTTATACCTCGGGGCCATTACTGGTTAATGCCTGCTCTGTACCGGCTGGGCCACTCCGTGACCCTGGCCCTCCCGGGCGGCTGTCCCTGGAAGGAGCCTCCAGCCCGTGGGGGCTGGTCACGTGGGTGGCAGAGGTGTGCCGGCCACACCCCGTGTCAGCGATGCCAGGCACACAGAATCTACTGGTCTAGATTTCTGAGAGGTGGAGAGTTCAATAAAACGTTGGTTTTCAGCTGGGCTCTTGTCCTCGCTGGGTTGCAGCGCCCCTAGAGGCCGGTCGTGGTGGAGGGAGAAGGTGGGCTCTGCCCCGCCTGGTGCCCCCTGGCGGCAGGTCCTGGCTCGGGTTTGCAGTGTTTGTCCCAGCTATCCTACCCTGGTGCCTGCAGTCCATCATTAGGGGTTCTGTGTGTCCTCTGTCCACTTGTCCTGGGGCCAACTGGAGGGGGCCTGGGCAAGGCGAGCCGGGGGAGGGGCCGGGCTCTGCCCTTAGGTTCTGTACCTGCCCGACTCCAGGGCTGTTCTTGAGGCCCCAGCAGGGACCAGATGTCCCACTCACACTGAAAATGCCCACTGGGTTGGGGTTCCCACACCAACCTTTCCGGGCCCCCCAAATTCCCCTGGCCCAGGCTGCCCCTTCTGGCCTCTCAAGCCCAGAGGCGGCCAAGGACTTCACCTACGGAGTGCATCCCCAAGCTCCCCCCGCGCGGCCCTGCCGAGGGCCCCAGACCAGGCCTGCGGGCCGCTCATACCTCTTGGGGCTGCTGTGAGTGGCATTCAGAGGTCAGGCGTGGTGACCCACGCCTGTAATCTTAGGACTCTGGGAGGTGAGGCAGGATGCCAAGTCTCAGCCCAGCTTAGGCAACTAAGACCCTGCCCTGAAAAAAAAAATATGAGAAAGGAAACTCAGCATAGTGGCACAGGCCTATAATCCAGTACTTGGGAGGCTGAGGCAGGTGGATCGCTGAGTTCAGGCTAGCCTGGTTTACCAACTGGGCTTGAGGCCAGCTTGACCTTCAGAGTGAAACTGTGTCCAAAAAAGGCAAAACAAAAAACAACAACCAAAAAAAGAAAGAGAGAAAGAAATGGGGGCTGAGGAAGTACCTTGGTATAAAGCCCCGAGTTCAATCCCAGCTATGTAAAAAGTTCTTTGTAGCTGGGTGTTCTAGTGCACACCTATAATCCAGCACTTGGGGAGGCTCTGGCAAAACAATTATAAATTTGAGCCCAGCCTGCAGGACTTGGTGAGAGATAAAGATAAAACAGAGAGAGAGCTGGGCTACAGTGAACCTGGCTTCAGCCCCCAGGACGCACAGAACGGTCCCACTTGGCGTGCACCTTTAGTCCCAGCTACCCTGGAGGCTGAGGCAGGTGCATCCCAAGCCCAGGAGTGGAAGACCAGCCTGGGCAACAGACAAGATTCTGTCTTGGGAAGCACGAATTCCCGTGCTGCCGCCAGTACTCACTGAGGCCAAGATGAAGAGTTCCTAAGCTGCAGTGGCACTCAGCCAGGGCTGTGTGGAAGCGTGTGTGGCTGTGGAGTCACAATGCCTGGCAACGTGACAGTGTCCCTCGCATCGGGACAGCTGCCAAAGAGGGGGCAGTCCATATGCCCCTAGGCCAGCAGGGCCCCCACCGAGAAGCGCCTGGAGCGTGGCCTGCACCTGTGCAGGGGCTACCAAAGACACGACATGCCAGGAGCATGTTACCGCACGGTTCCCGACACCAAGAGACCACACAGGGCTCAGGTGGCTCACAAAGGCTGTGTTCAGCACCAGCACCAGTGGGACACCTGGGTGCCCCTATCTGTAGCCCACGGCTCGGCCACACCTGTACACTGTCCCTGCCACGACTCTGCACACAGCAGGTGTGTGCTACACTTTCTGGACACACGAGGGACACAGGACTCAAGTCTTCCAGCTGTTGCTGGCTGCTGAATCTAGGCTGGCTGCTGAGGCCTTGCAGAGACAGGGCCAGAGGAGTTGCCCTGCCCAGGCTGGCAGGGGCCCACCATCCACAGTACATCTAGCTCCATGGAAGCACCATGCGCCTTGTCCCTAGCACATGAGCATTTCCCAGAGGGAGGGGACAGACTGGGTCACCACAGAGACCTTTGTTCTTCCAAAGCACGGGCAAGCAATCCTTCCACTCTCTTCTATGCGGGGGCTGAAGACTGTGTCCTGGCTCTGGCCTGTGGGGTCACCGCAGAGACTGCTCGGGGTCTGGGACCTCACTTGGATCCTCACCAGCCCGCAGCACGTCCACATGGTCGTAGAACTTCCAGGCCTGCAGGTTACAGCTCCGCAGGATGCTGCCCAGCTGCTGCCCGGGGCCAACTTCCCACGTCCTGGGGAAGGCGGTGCCCCGCCTGCGCTCGTAGATGGCGTGCATGGTCTGCTCCCACTTCACTGGGGACACCACCTGCTGCCCCAGCAGCTTCCGGATGTGCTGGGCGTTTGCATACCTGTGCCCACTCACGTTGGCATGCACGGAGACCAGGGGCTGCTTAATGTCGATGGCCTTCAGAGCCTGTGCCAGGGGCTCCACGGCCGGCTGCATGAGGCGAGTGTGGAAGCCGCCGCTCACCGGCAGCATCTTGGTGCGCCGAAAGTGGTACTTGGAGGAGTTCTGCCGGAGGAACTGCAGGGCCTGGGGAAGGGGTCACGCAGGCAGGTCAGGGAGAGCTGTGCGAACCTCGCCCTGTGCGCACGGTATGTGCGTTGCCACGAGGGCCCACCCAGGCTTGATCCCCCAAGCCTTGAGTAAGTTTTGTTTTGCAGTACTGAGGAATGAACCTGGGTCTCCCTACTGAGCCACGTCTCTGTCCCCAGCACTTTTCATTTTTTATTCTTTTTTGCTTTGTAACAAGGTCTTGTAAGCTGCCAAGTCTGGCTTTAACTTACAATGCTCCTGCCTCAGTCTCCCACAGTGCAGGGATTAGAGCCAAGCACTACCCTAAATTGACACTTTCAGTTCTGGTTAAACCCGGGTGTACATCCAGGCTTCCTGAGGTCACCCTGCAGGCACCGATCACATACGCCAACTGGGAAGGTAACCTAGCCCAGCACAGCAGTGTTACCATGGAAACAGGTCTGGCCAGGGTGGCAGCCCAGGCTGGTCACGGGGCCTCTGAGCTCTTCCTCCTACTCCCTGAAACACACAGTCTCATCCACTCCCGATGGCTGACAGAAGATGGCACCCCCAGAGAAACATGCTCACTTTCAACTGGAGGCCTACCACATGGGGCAAGGACTGCTCCATAGCTAGCCTGAGAGCTTCACTCCACACTGGATACGGGGAAGGGCCTTCTCCTGGGCTCCTGGGTGTGGCACTTCTGGGTCCCAAAGATCAGACTAGGGGCCCCAGGAGCCATGCCTAGAAGCCACGCCCAGCCTGCAGTGCACAGGGCAGGAGCCAGGCCAGCCCTTCTGGGTGCTCCCTGAGGCTGCTGGGAGGAATGAGCAGTTAGCCTGTGATTAAGGTCCTTCCCATCATGCCACTGTGGTCACAGAGGGGGCTGCGGTCTCACTGTGTAGTATCTGAGGACACGTGGCAGGGGCCAGGTCCTGATAGGGAGAAAGTGAGTGTGGTTGAGCAGGAACTAAAGCCAGAGTGAGACCAACGCGGGTTCAGATTCTGCCTCCAGCTGCGTGCTGTGGAGTGCATCTGTCAGCTCCTTGGGAGGCTGAGGCAGGAAGATTAGGACAGCAGTGGGGCAACAGTATCACCTTGCCTCAAAAGAAGGTGGCGCTTAATCCCACCACTTGGGGAAGCAAGCTCAGTACAAGTTTGAGGCCAGTTTAAGATACACAGCAAGACGCTATCACAAAATGAAAACAAAACGGAACAACCTGCTTTGTCCATCAAGTGCCTGTCCTCTGTCTGCCTCAGCTTGTACTAAAACAGGAATGAGAATTACCTCCAAGGCTGGGTGTGACAGCGACACCTGTAATCCCAGCACTCGGCACTCGGAGGATAGCCTCAAATTGGAGGCCAGCCTGGGCTACACTGAGATCAAGGCTAGCCTGAACTTTATAGTCTGTTTCAAAAAAAAAAAAAAAAGTCACCTCCGAGCCAGGCATGGTGATGTGCACCTTTGATCCCAGCACTCTGGGAGGCTGAGGCAGAGAATTGCAAATCTGAACTCAGCCTGGGCAACTTGGTGACTCCACCTCAAAATTTTAAAAGGGCTGGGGACATAGCTGTCACTCAGTGTACAGGCCCAGAGTTCAATCCCCAGTACTGCAAACAGCCCTGCCCCCCAAATGCCTGGCCCTCTCCTGGGGTCCGCTGCACTGGCCAGCCGCACACCTGTCCCCGAGTGCTGGCCCCAAATGTCCTTTCCACAGGCTTCCTGCTTCTCTGCTCATGACAGTGCTTCCTGGCTCACCCTTCAGGAGCCCACTGTACAGGCTCCCAGTGTTGGACTGTCCCTGCCAACACTCCTGCCCTGAGTGGCCCATGCACATAGGTCTCCCTCTGACAGCAAGATTTGACTGAGTGGCCTATGTGTCCCCAGTGTTGGTGACACCCACTGTCCCAGCTGGGATCTGAGGGGGCCCCGCCGCACCCACCTCCAGGTGTCCTGAGATGACCCTGCAGTGCGGGAAGAGGTAGTTGGACACCTCGCACACGGGATCCTCGATGCCCAAGGACCTACAGTGCTCCCGGGCGTCCAGACAGGCGGAGGCGAACTTGGACTGTGGCTGGCCAAGCACAGACAGCATCCCGCTGGGGATAGCTTCCGACGCCGCTTGCATGGCCTCAGCACGGACCTTCACAGCATACAGCCCTGTGCAGAGCAGGGAGAGAGAGCTCTTGGGCTCTCGGTGGAGCGCAGCTGGGACTCATCGGGTCCCCTTGACCAACAGAGACACCATGGACCTGCCTGTGTCTGCTAGGTGCCAGTCACGCCCATCAAGTCACTTCTTGCCAAAAGCCTGGCACAAACAGGGCAGGGGTATACAGCAGGGGTGTTCTGGGGGCAGGGGATTCTGTCTAGGCACAAGGACAGGACACTGACACATGGGGATCTCCTGACGTGTGATAAGGCGAGGCCAGGGATGCTGCTCCAAAGAACACCCCACAGTGAATGAGACAGCTCCGCCCCAAAAGGCTGCCCAGTGCCAACACCAAAGCACCCTGCCGAGAAACCTCAGGCAGGCTGAGACCACACCCCAGACCAGCCCAAGGTTCTGCCTCATACCTTCAGCAAACTCCATGGCTCCGGCAAAGACGAGGGCTGCAAATTCCCCCACACTGAACCCAGCAGCAGCGACACAGTTCTCGATCACCTGCAGTGACAGATGCAAGTGAGGCCAGAGGCTCTAGAAGAGCTCAGAACCAGGGCCTGCACCTGCCACTGTGAGCTAGGTGCCACACTGGCCTGGTGCTCCAGCTGGAAGAGGACCCAGGGGTGGCCCTGACAGTCGCTGAGTCCAGCCCTGTACTGATGGGACTCCATGGCATGGCTCTGGATCTTCTCACCTTTGTGTGGAGCAGCCTCAGGCCATGGGGCGTGTGGAAGTGAACTGGGCAGGCTAAAAGCATCGCGCTTTTCAAAACTTTTTGAGGGGCCGGTGAGATGGCTCAGTGGTCTAAAGCACCTACTTAGAACAAGCTTAGCAAAGCACAGGGACCGCGGTTCAATCCCCCCAGCACCACATGCCAGCCAGCCCCGCCCCCTGGTGGGCTGAGCTGGCCACACACACACACACACACACCTAAAAATAAATAAAAATTAAAAAAAAAAACAAACTTTTTGAGACAGGGTCTTGCTATCAGCTCAGGTTGACCTTGAGCTCCCTTTTTTGCCCAAACTGGTTTTGAACTCAGCAATCCTCCTGCTTCAGCCTCTCAAGTGCTGGGATAACAGGCATGCGCCACCACACCTGGCCTAAAAGCATCACTTTTCAAGTCACAGGCTGGGTATCTTAGCCTGGGAGAGTTCATCCATCCCTGAGGGAGGTGTGTGAAAACACTGTCTGTAAATCACTCGGCAGGAACCTGGCCCTGGTTAGGCACTGAACAGATGTTGCTAGCAGCACTCGGGGAACTACCTAATTTCTTTACTGCCTGAGTACTCCTCACCCACAGGTGTTCTTCTCCCAGGGGGCTGTGAGGGTGAAATGAAGGCACTCAAGGACTAGCTTAACATTTACTGTCTTCACGCTGTCCCACACTAGAAGGAACTGGTTCACCACTGTAAAGTAAAATCATTCAACTCTCCGGGGCTGAGGCAGAAGGAGCGGAAGTTTAAACTCTGCTGGAGCAACATAGTAAGACCCTGTCTCACTAAATATAAGTAAAACGCGCTAGGGATGTAACTCAGTACGAAAGGCCTGGGTTTAATCTCCAGTACAGGAGCAAAACAAAATTAGGATTAAGTTTAATCCTGTTTAAATCACGTAATACAAATAATTAAAAATCACAACCCCTTTCCCTGCTATGTTATCTGCTTGCAGTAGATGCAAGCTGCCCCGGGACAGGGATCTGGCTTTTGCCCTCGGCGCCTCCAGCCGGGCCTGGCACCTCTGGAAGCTGTCTGAAGCTGCCCTGTGAGTCGGGCGCTGGGGCCCTGGCCGAGCCCGCGTTCCCCATCTTCCCCGGGCCTCGGCCTCACCGCCGGCTGCAGGTGGTGTAGCTTCTCCACGGCGGCCAGGGAAGCCACGAAGACGGCGGGCTGGCAGTGGACGGTGCGGTCCAGGTCCTCCTGCGGCCCGTGCAGGCTGAGCTCCAGCAGGTCGTAGCCCAGCACGCGGCGCGCGGCGTCGTAGAGCTCGCGCACGCGCGGGAAGCCCAGCAGCCCGCGGCCCATGCCCACCTCCTGGCTGCCCTGGCCGGGGAACAGCAGCACGGAGCGCTGCCCGGGCGTCCTCCGCCACGCCGGCGCCGCCGAGGGCTCCTCCGCTGCCGCGGTGGCGTCCCGCAGCAGCTCCGCCACATCCACGGCGCCCGGCGGGGGCACCGGGAAGCTCGAGGCGCCGCGAGAGAAGCGGACGCCCCAGCCTCGGGCCCGCGCGACTCGAGCGACCCGGGCGCTCATGCTGGGAGTGCTCGGCGCGCGCGTTACTGCGGCGACTGTTGTCGGACTGCGGCGGCGCGACGCAGCGTAGTCCCTCGCGTATTTCCTGCCGGGCTGTCTGAAAGAAAGGTTCCGGGGTTATCTGTTCCGTCAGGGCTCCAAGACCTTTGCGGCTGCGTGTGGGAGGCCTGTGACCGGTGCACTTCTTTGAAGTTCCTCCCCGGAAAGAACTGGATACGACGCATCATTCGTAGACTAAACAGTAGATTGTATTGTAATCATCTTTTAAAAAATTGTTATGGGGGGCCGGGGAGATGGCTCAGTGGAATAAGCGCTTCCCTGGCAAGTGCAAGGGCCTGAGTTCAATCCCTGGTTCCGCCAAAAATAAATAAATAAATAATAATAGTAATAATAATAAATTGTTATTATATTTGCAGTACGGAATCGTTGATTTCATATTAGGTTATGTAGCCTTAAAGACAAATGAAATCAATTTGCAGGAAAATAGAACTTGAGACCTACTTTCAAGTGAAATACTTTTTACCCAGACTGTGCATAGTATTTGAAACTTTCCACATTCTTTCTTACATACAATTCTGCCACAACAATAAGTAAAATATCAGCTCTCTTTTGTGTTTCCTACAAACCAAACACAATGCCTGGCACATAATAAGCACTCAATAAATCTTTGTCACTAAACAAAGCCTGTTTTTTTTGTTTGTTTGTTTTTGTTTTTGTATTTAGGACAGGGTGTACAGGGTCTTACTGTGCAGATCGGACTCGTAGTGATCCTCCTGTGTGCATCCTCCTTAGTACTGGGATTACAGGCGCTCGTGCCACCACACTCAGTCTCAATCGCTGTCTCAGCGCGCCCTGGGGGCGGGGCTGGCCCGGCAGCCCCGGGGGGGACGGGGATCGAACCCCGGTCCCTGCACCTGCTTGAGGTGCTTTTTAATCTATCGAGCTGCTTGGCCTGCCCTTGTTTTTACATTATTTCCACTTCTCATAGCAGGCCGTAATGGACAGGTGCAAGTATTCAGTTTATAGACAGAGTCCAAGATGCAGTGCTAGGGAGAGATCTGGAAGTTTTTGGAGGGTGTGTGTGGGGGTGGGTTTAGCAGAATCAAACTCAGGTCCTCGCTCTTGGCAAGCAGATGCTGTGCCTCTGAGCTACATCCTCAGCAGAGATCAGGGACTGGAAGGTGGCTCGTCCAGCTCCTGATCGCTGCTGTAGGCCGGGTCAGAGCGAGAGCCGCAGCCTTACCTCCTCCCAGCAGCCCTCCTTCCCGCTGATCTGCCCTCATTTCCGTTCAGCTTTCCCCAGGGAGCCCGGGACACCCATGCACAGTTGCACTTCACAATGACAAGCTCGAGGAAGGGCTACATCTTAGTCTGCTGGCTGCTGTAACGAGGCCATACACCGGGGAGTCTTGATAACAGGAAAACATATTCCTTAACATTCCTGAGGCCGCGAATGAGAGATCGAGATGCTTGCAGACCCTGTGTGTGAAAAGGGCCTGCTTCGGGTTTGCAGATGACCTCACGGGGGGAAAGTGGAGGGAGAAGTCCCTGAACATCCTCCTCCTTTGACAACATCATTCCATTCACCAGGGCCCACTCTCAGGACTTAACTGTTCCCAAAGGCCTCATCTCTAAATACCATCACAAACCACATCAGCAAGGCTGCTTTGCTGGATTTGACTGAAAAGTCCAATAAACAAAGACCTAACTCTTGGGAAGTCCATGACGGCCTTGCTTTTGGAGGAAAGCTGCGTGTCCGACTAGAGAGGGATTTGCTAGATGAAATATGGCCTCATAAAAGATACAGAACGGATCTTCAGGTTAAGGCATGCACAGAGCAGGCACTTACTCTGGAAACCCATAAATCCACAGCAAAGAGGCCATTGGAAGACGTAAATCCCACACAGACAGAGGGAACAGGAAAGGGGATCCCAGCGGCAGACTCTGGAAGCTGGGCAGAGGCATGCTGGAGCCGCCCACCTTGGCTGCCTTCACAGTAAAATCCCCTCAGCAGAAGGGAAAGCTGAAAATCAGTGCTCATTCGTACAGTGGGATCCTACAAAGCTTTGGAACTGGCAGGACCAGCTGCTTCTAGATTCAAGGGCAAAAGACGACTAAAACAGAGATCTATTTGCATAGATCCTTAGATCACCCCCTCTCCCTGCCCTACTCTGGCAAGTACCTGGCTTTTGTCTGGGAAATGGTCACCCTGTGGCTGGGCATGGCAGGGACAGCAGCAGATGTGAGCCCACTGCTGACACAGGTGGGCCCTGCGTGCTGGGTGCAGAGACCCCTGCATGCTCCTTTGGAGGCAGACCCTGTCCCCGCTGGACTGGAGGACCTAGGGAACCTCACAGTGCAAAGGGAAAGCAGCCCCAAGATTCCCAAGCATTTGAGGAAAACTTCTTATAAACAGTGAGAAAGAAAAAAAATACATATATATGTATATATATATATATATATATATATATATATATATATAGAGAGAGAGAGAGAGAGAGAGAGAGAGAGAGAGAGAGAGTAGAAATCATGGAGAAGAAAGCAGTTGTTCTAAGGAGACAATCATTACTATCTTTAAGACATAAGAGAAGCTGGACATGGAAATGCATGCCTGTAATCCCAGCACTCAGGAGGCTGAGGCAGGAGGACCAGTGTGAATTTGAGGACTACATAGTGATATAGATGACCTCATGTGGGGTACATATGGAGGCTGTCTCCGAAGGAAAAAGAAGAACCAGTGAGATAGCTCAGTGGACTAAGTCCCTGCTTAGGCAAGCACAGGGACTGGAGTTTCATCCCCAGCAGCATGTACTGTGCTGGCCTCAACCCAGTACTCAATGACCAAGACCAGATGTGGAGGCACACGCATGTAATCCCAGCGCTAGGGAGGCTGGAAACAGGAGGATCACTACAAGTCTGAGCTGTGTAGTGACACCCTGTACCAAATATATCAAAAGAAAGAAAAACAAAAGAACATTCAGAAAATAAAAGAGAATCTCTTGATATTAAATATAGGAAAGAACAGTTGAAAACTTACAATAGAAGACCAAAAGAGAAAGTGGCGGAAAAGTACATAACAACTATAAAAAAATCCCAAATCATTCAATTTTGAAAAACAAAATAAAGCAAGCATGAAAATAAAGTAAAAAAAAAAAAAGTCACATTTTCCAAACTGAAAGTGCTGGAGCGCTGGTACAATGGATGAAATTAGACTCCCCCATGAGGATTTTTAGGTCAAATTTCAAAACTTAATCCAAGTCAGTTGTGGGTTCCGTCCAGGTGCAGCAACATCCTGGAGGGCTCGCGCAGCCAGCGCTGGCCATGCCCTGGAGGACGAGGGATTTCGCAATGCTTGCCTCCCGGAGGATGGGCTCCGCCAGAGCGGGGGACCTGCTATTGGCATCACGGGATGCGCGCTCTGGGGCTTAGGAGGAAGAGAGGGTCACTCTGCTCCTGCTCCTCCGGGCTGCGCAGGCCTGGGTGGGCTGGGCTGCGCCTGGGGAGGCCTCGCTGGTGCGGATCCTCTGCAGGGTCCCAGGAAGGCCGAGAACCAGATGCCAAGTGCTGTGTCCGAGAGACAAAGCCACGCTGGCCTTCACTGCAGACCTGGGCTTGAGGCCCCTAAACGGGCGTGTTACTCCGTGGGCACATTCCACCTGCACAGCGCAGCCCTGGAGACCTAAGCACCTCTGTGGTCCTGCTCCTCCTCACACCTTTAGGGACTGAACCAGGGCCTTTGACGTAGAGATGCTTGTTTAGAGATGCATTCTCTATTCTTTATTTTATTTATTTATTTATTTATTAAATTTTTATTTATTTATTTATTTATTTATTGTCTGTGTGTGGCCAGCTCAGCCCACCAGGGGGCGCGGCTGGCTGGCATGTGGTGCTGGGGGATTGAACCGCGGTCCCTGTGCTTTGCTAAGCTTGTTCTAAATAGGTGCTTTAGACCACTGAGCCATCTCACCAGCCCCTATTCTTTATTTAGAGATGGTTCTTGCACAACTAAGCCACTCAGTTGCCTGCGCTGAGTTTAAGTTTTTAATCCTCCTGCATCAGCCTCCCAGAATGCTGGGGTTATAGGCATGCGCTGCGCCCTCCTCTTCAGCCTTTACTGTGTGGGTTACATTTCCACATGCACTTCGGTGAGGATATGAAAGCCACAGTCACTGTGCCACCCGGGACCTGAGGGTCCACCCGGGTGTGCAGTGAGGGCGTGGTAGGCGAGGCGTGAAGCTGACGCCTACACCAGGCTTGGGTGGCTGGCGCAGTGCGCTCTGGACCAACTCAGTGAGGTCCCGTCTCAGAATAAAAATTCAAAAATAAAAAAGGACTGGGATGTAGCTTGGTGATAGTGTGTGTACCTGGCATGTACTTGTTCTGGGTTCAAGTCCCTGTACTACAAAAATCAATAAACATCCCAGAATAGAGGCCCTGGCCTAGGACCACTGACCTCTTGCTAAGGAGTACAATGACAGAATAAAACAAACAAGAGGTATATGTTTTAGTTACAGGGGGCACCAGAATGGTCAAAGCCCAATGAGGGGCTAAGGCCCAGAGGCTCGCTGTCCTTTACGAGGTGCGCAGTGATCCAGGGGTGCGCTCGCTCGTGGGCTGCAGGAAGTGGCGGGGTGAACCACTGACACAGTCAAGGTTCAAGGATCGGGGGACAATGCATTTCTGAAAAAGCGCGTGGGAGCAGATCAGGGTTAACAAGTAACCTCCCTGACTGTTTGCCCGCTGGACTGCGGCAGCAGGACAGAATTTGGGGGAGCCAGAGTCTGCTTCGTCTTCTCTGAGGCACTGGGACCCCACACGCTGCTGCTCCTGGCCCCCGGCCAGAGCCCTGGCCAGAAGTGTAGATCGCACCAGTCACTTAGGCCGAGGATGGACTTTCAATTCGATTTTTTTTAATTATTTATTTATTTTAACATTTTTTAAATTATTTATTTATTTTTACATTTATTTATTGTGTGTGTGTGTGTGTGTGTGTGTGTGTGGCCAGCTCAGCCCACCAGGGGGCGGGGCTGGCTGGCATGTGGTGCTGGGGGATTGAACCGCGGTCCACTGTGCTTTGCTAAGCTTGTTCTAAGTAGGTGCTTTAGACCACTGAGCCATCTCTCCAGCCCTCAATTCGATTTTTTAAAATGTCAGTTTATTGATATCAATTATTGCCCGCTCTGCACCGAGTCAAGCTGGTCCTCAGTATCCCAGCCTTCGGGGCTGAGGCAGGAGGATCACTGCGCCTTCAAGGCCAGGCCCGGCTCTGCAGTGAATTCAAGGCTAGCCTGAACCACATGTGGAGACCATGTCACAAAAACAAGTAAATAAACAAAGCCCTAAAGAAAAGCGGGGGTGTGTTCAGCCCCCAGGTTGAGGTACAAACGACCTTTGGGGGTGGGCAGGAGTCTGTGGGGAGACCACAGGGCCTGGGGCTACTCCAGAGCCAGGGTAGAGGCACCCCCCTCCTTGCTGTAACAAGCTCCAAGTGTGTGTGCACATGTTTTACACACATTGCTACAGGGAGAACAGGGCAGGAAGCGCTTGTTAATGTGGAAGGAGGCTTCTGATTCATTATTGCAAGGGGAAAAAAACAAGTTACACAACCGTTTATTGCCTGAAAGTTCTTGTAAAGGAAAAGGAACTTAGATCCCTGCTTTGTAAGAACAAAGGTGTTGAAGGGCTTCCTCTCTAGGTGGTGGGAGTGGGTGGTTGTAAGTTTTTTCTTCTTTCTTGCTTGTATATTTTGCTATGTATGTACGTATATATGTATATTTTCTTTTTTTTTTCTTATAATTTTTTTTTTTTTCAGAACCAGGGATTGAACTCAGGCCCTTGCGCTTGCCAGGGAAGCGCTTATTCCACTGAACCATCTCCCGGCCCCATATGCATGTTTTCACACAGGGTCTCACTATATAGTTCAGTGAGGCCTTGAACTCACTATATAGCCAGGCTGGCTTTGAACTCCTCATGCCTCAGCCTCCCCGAGCGCTGGGATGACAGGTGCATGTCACCATGCCAGGTCCTGCTTCTTTTATGATGAGCAGGGGCTGCTGATGGCACAAAGCAAACACATGGCGGAGGGGACTGTGCTTCTCCAGTCACTCGGAGCTGGGAGGCAGTGAGCGGACTTCCCGAGTGGGGCCCTGACCCCAAGCTGATGGCCCGGGGCAGTCTCTTCCCCTCTCCGGGCATGGGAGCTGGCCTCAATCCTCTGGCAGCCAGAGGAGCTGGCATGGGCCAGCTGCCCAGGAAAGGCACCCTGGGGACTGGGGCAGAGGTGGTTTCTGGAAAGAGCTCCTGGGGGATGCTGGGACCCACAGGTTAGGATGGGTGGAGATGCCAGGGTGGGCACAGGGAGCTCAAGCAGGGGCATCATAGGCAGAGCCACAAAGGGGGAAGGTGGAGGAGTCAGCCTGTGCTAGGGCTTGGCCAGGAGGTGGGGTGTGGCCATGTTACCTGTGGGAGCTGCCGGGACAAACGGGGCTGGGGGCAGCAGGTGGGGGAAGCAGAAGTCACGGCAGGCTGATGGCACGGGGCATCCCTGGCTATGGCGTCCCTGGATCTGACAGAAAGCTCCACCCTCTGGGTGTCCCTTGGCTCCAAGCCCTGGGCAGGGCGGGCACAACCTCTTATGCAAAGAGGCAGAGGGCTGGCTGGAGTGTGCCAGTGTGGCCTGGTGATGTCTCCACTGGGGACAGCAGGCACTGGGCCAGGGCCACCTTAATTCCAGGGGCAGGAATATGTTTAATTTTCTTTAATTAGAAGAAAAAGGTGAATCTAGCCTGTGTTATACTTGTTTGCCAATACAGTAAAAAATATACCTATATAATATAAACGTATATATATATTTTTAAATTTGTGTGTGTGTGTGTGTGTGTGGCCAGCTCAGCCCACCAGGGGGCGGGGCTGGCTGGCATGTGGTGCTGGGGGATTGAACCACGGTCCCTGTGCTTTGCTAAAATTGTTCTAAGTAGGTGCTTTAGGCCACTGAGCCATCTCACCAGCCCCAAATGTATATAATATTAAAGGAATTTTGTATATACGCAAGTCCTTGAAAAGTAGTCACAGTGCAGCTCTGGTTAGTTCTCAAGGAGTCTCCAGGCCACGGCGCTGCTGTCTCCTCTGCTGTGCAGACCCTGAGCGAGGCTGGTGCAGGTTGAGGGGCACTGCCAGGACAGCAGACCAGAGCCACACTTCTGGGGAGTGGTGCGGGTGACCCTGCTAAATAGGGGCCGCCATGTGTCTGAGGGCACCACGCCCACATTATGGGTGGCATCCCACAGGCTGTGCCCATTTCGCAAACGAGCTGGAGGCCACCAGGCGGACAAAGGGCTCCCTGAGGGGACGTGTGTCAGGGCCCTGCGCTGAGGACGCACAGGGGTCTGCGGGTAAGGAGCTTTTCCTCTCTGAGCTCCGCTGTCCAATTTCACAGACTGGAGCAGAGAGAGTCCCCGCGCGGCCACCGCGGGGACTGCACGGACCGCCCGCCCGCCTCCAGCTCCCTGGCCCGGGCGGGGCGCAGGGCGGAACCCGGCGAGGCGGGGTCTCGGCCGCCACCTCTCAGTGTCTTCTGGCGAGGGTGAGTGGAGAGGCTGGGGCAGGCGGGCGGTGAAGGGCCAGAGGGTAAACTGAGGCTGGAGCCTTGCGGCTGGGCCACCAAGTCCTGACTCGGCAGGAAAGTTGGACCCCCCCGGGTGTGGACGGGGAAGCTGCCCGGGAGGGTTTGCGCTGCTGGGAAGGGAGCGAGAAGCCAGGCGCAGAGGAAGCGAGCCTGGCGGGGGTCGGGAATCCCAGGCGCGGAAAGGAGGCTTGGGATGTAGCGAAACTGAGGCTGGCTCGAGCCGGGAGCCCGGCCGTGCACCGGGAGGTCCGGTTCCAAAGCCTGCGTCCTCTGCCTGCGCCCAGGACGCTTTCCCTGCCTGCCGAGGTCGTGCACGGCGGCACCGGCCCTCAGGGACGACTAGGCGGGTCAGGGCTGGGGGCGAAACCTGCTTTTCACCCTCAGCGCTTTATTTCCATTATTTGACTTTTGACTGCTTACTCGCGCCTGCGTTTGGCTTATTTTGACCTTGCAAGAGCCGGAAGCCTTTCTCTTTTCAAAAAGCGATCACTTTTCCTGAAGCAACTTCCCGCGCCCTGGTCTTGCTGAGGCCCGAGAGAGCTGGGCGCAGGGGAGGGAGCGGACCAGAGAGGGCACGACTTCGTTCTGCTTCTGGGACCCTGGTTAAGGGGGGTTCAGAATGGGGTCCTCAGACACGCTAGCCCCTTCTCACGGATGGGAACGAAGAGGCCCAGGAAATGGGCCCCGGATCTGGGGGACGCTCCCTGCGTCCCATGCTCTGTGGAGCAATTCCAGGTCCTCTAACTGGGTTGTCTAGGCGGGGCGAGGACTCGGAGGCTGGGGCACTGGCACTGTAGGGGTTAGAGCGAAGCTGTTGGTCCCAGGGACCTCCTGGCGCCGGGCAGAGGGGGGTGGTGGCAGCTGCAGCCCGAGGGAGGTGACACAGAAGGCGCACAGACTTCAAACATTCTGTGACTGCTTAACCCGGATTTCTTCATCCGTTCTAGAAGAAATGGGGGAACGGTTCCCCAAACCTTGACGCCTACGAAGAGCTCCAGGCGCTCTCGCTTCCCCGCCCCTTCCTCCCGGGGATCAGGGAGGACCCGCCCACCCGACGGGGAAGACCCGCCCACCCAGCTGGGGGGTGCACTGTGGCTGGGGGCGTGGCCATGAGTCTTATTTACCTTTCCGGGCTGGGGAAACTTTGGGGTTTGTGAGTTGTTCTGCCGCCCCGCTGGAGCCCTAGGTCGACCCCGTTTCTGGCCCTTTTGGCTCCCTGGTCCGGCTGGCAGGGCCTGGGTGACTCAGCTTGTGGGTCCCACCCTCTGCCTTCCGTGCCCCCTCAGGCGAGTGATTCAGGAGCTGGCTGTGCCCAGGAGGCCCCAGGAAGCGCCCTGCCCTCCCCTGTCTGCACAAACAGCCCCGTTCCTGGGTGGAGCTGGAGGGCAGGGGCAGGAGCCTGGGGCTGCTTCCCTGCTGCCAGAGCCCAGGGCCCGGCCCCTTCCTCCCACTGTGGCCAGGATGCTTCATTTTTAACGTTTTATTTTGAGTGAGTTTTAGGCTAAAGAAGTTGCACCTGGGTGTGGTGGCGCGCACCTGTAATCCCAGGCCTGGGGAGGCTGAGGCAGGAGGATCCTTGAGAGTTCCAGACCAGCCTGGGCTATACAGTGAGCTCAAGGTGACCCTGAAGTGCATAGCGAGACTCAGTCTCAAGAAAAGGACAACAAAGGGCTGGGGAGATAGCTGAGTTCTCCTCAGTACAAAAAAAGAAAAAGAAAAAGAAATTGCAAGTTAGTGCCAAGGCAGGATGTGGGGCACACACCTGTAGTACCAGCTGGTAGGGAGGCTGAAGCAGGAGGATCACAGGCTCTAGCACACTTGTACACCTTGACAAGGCCTTTCCTCAGATTAAAAAATACAAAGGGCTGTGACTGTAGCTCAGAGGTAGAAAGCTTGCCCAGCATGTGTGAGATCCTGGGTTCAGTCCCTAGTACCCCAAGTAGTAATGATGATAACTAATTCCCATATTTCCGAGAGTCCCCGTATTCCCTGCACCCTGGGTGCAGGAAAACCCCAGGCTTCCTGTTCTTCCACCCCCAACTATGTTTTGTTTTTATTTCTCCTCCACCTCAAGGCACCTCATCCCCCTTTGCCTTTAGTGACTGGCGGTAGGTTCGGGCCCTAGAGTGAACTGCTATTGTGGTGGTCATCTGATATGGCCGATACCCTTAAAGGCCCGAGCTCCCAGGACTGCCTCCTGCTTCTTCTCCAATTTAGCCCAGGACATAACTTATTTTCACCCTTCCCGCCCCCATCAGCTCCTCAGGTCTATCTGAACATCCCCTCCAAACTCCAGCCCAAGCAAAAGGTCATAAAAGCCTCAGACTCCCTTGGTCTAGTTGAGAGAAAAAATTCCTCATCCTTCCCCACATTCTCTCCCTTGTCCTCAAAGAAAATCAAGCCCCTTTCCCTTTTTCCTTCTGCGTGTTTTTTTGCAGCGCTGTTCATCTGAAAACCACCTATGAGCTAGCATTTTGAGGGGCTGGGCCCCTGGTGCCCCGAGCTGGCCTTGGGGAGAAAGTTCCTCTTCAGGCTACCCAAGTTGTGCCCAGCCTTGGACTGGGCTTGTGTGTGAGCAGAGCCACGGTGTCCTCTGCTGGGGTCCCACCACAGGGTAGTGACATCAGTGTCTGAAGGAGACATTCACCTTGTCCACCTGGGAAAGGACGGCACTGCACGTGAGCAGGGCTATCTCTGTGGGCACAGTGGCCCCCTCTGGGTTTGTCCTTGGGAGCCACACGTGCACACTGGGAGGAGACCTGAGGTCTCTGGGCCTCAGTTCCCCTGTCTGTAGGATGTGCCAGCTTCCACCTGGCCAAGCCAGAGTCAAGTTCTAGGAAAGGCCCCAAGACACTGTGCACAGCTCCTTCTGAGTCCCCAGATAGTCACTGTTGGCCTTTGTCACCCAGGCAGAGCGAGGCCGTGTCTAATTGTAGAGGTGATGAGTCTGAGGTGTTCTGGGCTGGCTTGACATGACATGTGGCTGGTGGCCCCACCGCTCTGTGCCCGAGGGGCAGATGGGCTGAGCTGGTGGAGCCGTCTCCTTTCTGAGATCTGCTGCCTCGGTTCGTCTTAAACACGCATGGCTGTGCTATGTGCTAACACTGGGCTCACTCTGTACTCAATTTTATGTTCTGCCTTCTTCATTTTATTGAGCATAGATTTCAGGTCATTAAAAAGTCACCAGCTGGGTGTAATGGTGCATACTGGTAATCCCAGCACTTGGAGGCTGAGGCAGGAGGGTCGCCATGAGTTTGAGGCCAGCCTGCCTACAGAGCGAGACCTTGCCTCAAAACAACAATAACCAAGAGTACGCCAGGACTGTGGTATGGCCTGGGGGTAGAGCATTTGCCCAGCATACGCAAGGCCCTGGGTTCCATTCTTAATGCCATAATATAAATAAAAAATAAAGACCAAGAAGTACTCACCCAATCTTTCAGAGTCCCCATTGTTGGGCCTGGGATCCTCTGGGAGACAGGGAGTACCAGGGACTCCCAGCCTCAGCTTTTCCTTGCATGTTGGACAGTGACCCTGGGGCCACTGTCTCTCCTCAATGCGCCGGAAGGGGTGGTGGCTTTAGAGTGCCACTTGGGATGTGGGGGCACAGCTGTGTATAGAGACAGCACCTGATACTGTGGCCTGGGGTGGGCCCACGACAGGGAGCTTCAGATAGCCTATTCTACAGAGGGAAACTGAGGCTCAGAGAGTAAAGCCTTTTACCTACTGTCTCAGTGATCTGGTGGGGGGCAGGGATCTGAGGGAGCCACGTTCTGGGTAAGTGAAGGAATCAGTGAGGAACTGAAGGGCTAGGACATAAAGCTTGGGCCTTGCTGGACGCAGGAGACACGCCTGTAATCCCCGTACTGGGAGGCTGAGGCAGGGGTATCCTCGTGAGTTCAAGACCAGCCTGCGCAATTTAGTGAGATCCTGTCTCAAAAGAAAATTAAAAAGGGCTGCGAGCGTAGCTCAGAGGATTCCAAGATTGGCGCTTGACTTGGAGACATCGAGCTGGAAGCCTCCTGGTGGCAGGGACCCCACAGCTGATCCTTCCTGGGTGATGGATCCCTTGCCCCGGTCCTATTCTTTTCCAGAGCTTCTGGGACAGCAGCCATGGCTCCACCCTGGGTGCCCGCTGTGGGCTTCACGCTTGTGCCCAACCTGGGGGGCTTTGTGGGCTCCTACTTCGTCCGTGGCGAGGGCCTCCGCTGGTATGCCACCCTGCAGAAGCCTGCGTGGCACCCGCCGCGCTGGGCACTGGCTCCAATCTGGGGCACGCTCTACTCAGCTATGGGGTAGGTGACCGCCCCGGGGCAGGCGCGAGGCCCATTGCAGAGGGCGGTTGGGGCGGGGGTGGCACCGTTCCCAGCCTAGGAAAAGGCCTGTGGGTTGCACAACTGAACTTTTTTCTTCTGGGCTCTCGGAACAACCTGGGGTGCACTCACCCCACTGCTCTGCTGGCTGGACAGGGGAAAGGTCACCACCCTGGGTGTCTCCATCTGAGATAAACAGGCCATGGCAACTGTGTGACTTATGCCTGATTTTAGAGTTCCTTGTTTGCCAAGGGCCCTTGCACGGGCACAGGCTAGCAAGTGGGGCTACCCCCCAAACCTGGCCTTAGTCCCCTACAACAAGCTGCAGTGGGGGGAGGGCACCCCTTGCTGGGTGCAGTGGAGGTCGGACCGCTACCAGCTGCCGGAATGGCTCTGTAAGCCCCAGGCTCTCTGAGCAGGTGGCAGAGGCCAGGCCAGGTCTGAGGGTATCACTGAGCCCCCCTATGGCTCTGCTCAGGTCCCAGGACCCATGTTGTCCCCATCCTGGCACCAGACCTCCTGGCGGGTCACACGTGGCCCAACCCTTCTGCCACTCCCAGAGGACCTGGTGGCCCTGGACACTGATACAGGGTCTCCCTTTTGCATGTCTTGTTTCTTCTCTCTGGCAGACTCCTACCCAGCCTCTAAGGCCAGCCCCAGTGCCCTCCTGTCAGGAGGCTGGCTCCACCCACAGGGCCTCTGTGCTTCCCTCTTCATAGTGCCGTGCTAACACTGGCAAAGATGAGAGGGGTAGCCGTTCTCTTGAGGTCACGCAGCAGTCACTGTCGGGGTCCCAGGCGGGAGGTTCCTGGCCTCCGCACCCAGCACTGCCCTGACCAGCGACCCGTTGCAGGTACGGATCCTACATGGTCTGGAAGGAGCTGGGCGGCTTCACGGAGGAGGCTGTGGCCCCCTTGGGCCTCTATGCCGGGCAGCTGGCCCTGAACTGGGCATGGCCCCCCATCTTCTTTGGCACACGGCAGATGGGTTGGGTAAGTGTGGCCTTGTGACTCTCTGGTCCCCAGGGAGCCCCTGCAGGATGCAGGAGAATGCATCTCACATAGCACTAGCATCTGTAGGTGGGGGCAGGGGCTGGCAGTGGCTGTTACTAAATGACCCAGGCTCGGCTGTAACTTGTAATTCTCCTGCCTCAGCCTCCCAGATTGCTGGGATTACTGGCAGGTGTCACCATGCCCAGGAGCACTTGGCAGTTTATGGCCAGGCTGTTGGGGTTCACAGGGGTGCAGGAGGTCCGGGTCCAGTTCCTGGATGTCCCCATAGCCCGCACCTAGCGCGGATCAGGTGGGAATGATGCCATTTTACAGCTGAACAAACTAAGGCTGAAGATGTGCTTGAGGTTGGGGTGGCTGAGCTGTGGGTGGCGGGCAAGCTTCATCCTCCCTGTCCCGTGTCTCCATAGGCCCTGGTGGACCTCTTGCTTGTCAGCGGGGGAGCAACTGTCACAGCTGTGGCCTGGCACCGTGTGAGCCCTTCGGCTGCCCGCCTGCTCTACCCATACCTGGCCTGGCTGGCCTTCGCAACCCTGCTCAACTACCGCATGTGGCGGGATAATCAAGGCCGCCGTGGCGGCCGCCTGAGCCCGGAGTGAGTGTGCCCAGCCTGCCGAGGACTGTGGCTGGGACCAGGCGGGTGCTGTGGTGGTGGACTCGCCTGGCTCAGCATCGGTGCAGGGGTGGCCACGCCCCGCGTGGGAGTGGGGTCCTGCACTTCTGTGCCCTGCATGGAGCTGGCTCTCGGTACCTTATTTTACAGCTGAATAAAACCCCAAGCTGCACACGGCCGTCTCTGTGGCTGGGCAGGGGCTGTGGCCATGTGGGGTGCCTGGGGCGGATTATCCAGATCCCGAGACCCTGCCTGGACCAGGGGACACAGCTGGTGTGGTGCTGTCACATCACCTCCAGGGCTCAGTCTTCCCTGGCTGGCCCTGGAGGGCACTCAGATGGTCGTGCCCAGTACAGAGCTGGGGGTGCTGGGCGACCCCTGGGTACCAGCTTCTCTCCCTTGAGGGCCAGCCCCAGCCCCCACAGCCCAGACCCACCCAGATTTGGGGGTCTCACCCCAAACCCCAGAATTCCAAATGTGTGATGGCCATCTGCCGCCTGCTAGGCACTGCGAACCCTGGGGCTCCTCAGCAATGCCTGGCAGGCACACACCTCCTGCTGGCCACCCTGGAGACGGAGGGGCCCTTGCCCACTGCAGCAGGCACCTGCTGGTCACTGCTGTCAGGGTCTAGGTTGCGACGACCTCCGTGCTGCTGCTGGGCGAGCACACAGCCATTTGCTGCCTTCCTGCATTTCACTCCGCAGAGCGTGTCTGAGCCGGTGCCATGCCCACGGTTCAGGCTGCACCAGGCCATTCACAAAAGCAAGCTCAGTCATCAGCAGAGGGTGCCGCTTGCCTGTAACCCCAGCTATCCGGGAGGCGGTGGCAGGGTGACCCCAAGTTCAAGGGCGGCCTAGTTTAGTGAGACCCTCCGAGCACTGAGGGTACAGCTAGCTTGACAGAGGGGAGTGCTTACCTGGCGAGGCCTGGGCACGGGGCCTAGCAGCCTTCCCTCCATGCAGGAGGGATCGGCAGGCTGCTGACGGGAAGCTGTGGCAACCATGAGTCCACCAGCACCCGAGCGACGGGGTGGGGCCTGTCATTGCCACTCACCTGAGACAACTGTCACCACTGGTTTCTCTGCAGCCAGAGCACCACTGAGGATGCCTTGCAAATGCCACCCTGGGGGTCTTCCTCCAAGCTGCCGTTACGGGCACAGTCTGCCTCCCGAGGAGCTCCCACAGGAGGGCTGTGCCTCCAGGCACTCAGGGAACAGCCATGGGAGAGGCGCCATCTCCAGGGGCAACTGCCTGGCTGTGTCCATGTACCTGAGAGGGCCAGCTAGGAGCAAACATGCTCATTCAAGAGGGAAGGACACATTTTAGCCGAGCGACAGTGCCCCCTGCTAGGCATCCCGGTAACCTGGCTTTGTGGTCTAACCTCTGGGGAGCTATGGTGCACCGAGCTTAAACTTCGCAGCCAGCAGGTTGTGCCACCGCACCCCATGTGACCTGCCTCAAGGCTCTGCTTACCAGGAGCTGGGGTCTCATCACCCCACTCCCAGGACAAAACTGATGCCCCAGGATGCAGGCCCAAGTGCAGCCGGGATGGGCTCCGCTCTGCATCTCTGCCCTGTGAACCCATGTAAGTAGGACCAGTGCCTGGAAACCAAACAGGCTTGGGGCTGAGCCCTGAACCCTCCCGCAGGGTGGCTTCTGCTGTACTGGTGTGCTGTTCCGGGGTGCGGGAGAAAAGAGGCCGAGGCAGAAGTCTTGAGTTTATTGTAGTACAAATCCAGCAAGGCAGAGGGGGCCCAGAAAGCGGCGCCACTTGGGCCAACAGAAGAGTCCAGCTCTGCTGTGGGAAGTGCAGGCTTTAGCTTCAAAAATGAAACCTTTCACTCTTCTCCCCTGCACACGGGAAGCTTTGCAGGAAGCTTTGCAAGCAGCTCCGGCCACCAGGGGGTCGGTGCCCCCACCCGAGGTGCACAGTGGCCTCACAAAATGTGAAATTAGGAAAGAACTGAAATTTTACATTTTCATCCCCTAAACTTAAAATACACACATACAGAAACAAAAAACAATCACAACAGCCCAGCACTGGGACCCTAGACCTCTGACAGCACTCTGCGTGGAATCAGCAGTGCCAGCTGTGGCCCCAGGGACAAGGGGGACCTGCATGGGCCAGCTGCCCAGAGGCTCAGCCTTCCTGCTGGAGCTGTGGTGTTCTGCTGGTGACTGTTCTGGGCCATCATGCGGCCCCACCGGCACAGACATTTGTGCCACTGGGGAGCCACGCACAGCAGCTTGGAGAACAGCTCCAGCACCTCTCCGGGGAGCCCACCCTCTAGGGAATCCCTCTCCTCTAGGACCTCTGCAACGAGGCAGTTGGGAACAGGCTTTCAGAGACAGGGCCTCAATGCAGGGGGCAGTGGAGGAGGCTGCGTGGCCCTGGTGTGCGGGTGGGACGGTGGTTCTGGAGGGAGGGACCGAGGCTGCCTCAGCGAGGCTGAAAGGACATCTGGAGCACAGGTGGCGCAGGCCACATGGGTTAGACCAGGCGGGTGACATGGCAGTCCCCAGGCTGGTCCAGGAACAAGGTGCTGAAGACATCATTGAAGAAGGAGGGGTGGTATCTGCAGGCGCGCTCGCAGTCGGGGTTGAAGTTCACCTCCAGGATCTGTGGCTGCACTGCTCGCGACCCTAGGCGGAGTAGGGCAGGTAGCAGCGGTGGCTGGGGAGCACGCAGCCACGCACGGGGCAGGCTCGGCAGCAAACACAGGGGACACAGTGCAAGCGGGGGCGGGGTAGGGGCAGCGGTCCCACCTGGCCCCAGGGGTCCCTGCCACCTCCCTCTACCCCTAGAGGCAGGCAAAGTGCACCCTGAGCAGTGCTGATGGCGCTGGGGCGGTGTGGAGCTGCGGCTCGGGGAGCCCCTCACCATCTGGGCGGGTGTCCCACTTCAGCATGAGGTCCACAGCGTAAACAGCCCGGGATGAGGGGTAGTCACAGAGGCCCAGGGGCGGCGGCTTGGCACAGGCGACTTGGAACAGCTCCGTGAAGGCCTGGAAGATCTCCGCCTGGAGACAGGCCGAGTCAGGGGTCTGCTTGGCCTAGACGTTGACACTAGGCCCCCAAGCAGCCTCCTGGGACAGTTTTCACTGTTCTGCCCCCCATGGGCGACCACCTGTTCAAGACCACCTGCCTGACCTCCACCCCCTCATGTTTGGAGTCAGCGTGGAACCCGGGCCCCTGCACACTTTGCAAGTGCTCTGCCCCAATCCTGGAGTTGCTTCTGAAAATCTGCCTATCTCCTACCCTGGCACCCTGGCAGCTTGGCCCGAGATGTCCAGCCCGCTTTCCAGTGGGCTCAGATTCCCAAGGCTGGCGGAGCCTGGAGTCCGCTGGTTGGCCCAGGGGTGCCACAAAAGCCCTGGTTTTGGCCTTTTGCCAAAGAACTCCTACCACCCCCTCCCTGGGGAAGCTCTTAGCTTGGCTGGTGCCTCCCCCGTGACACCCCAGGGAGGCAGAGGGCCTGGCCAGCTGGGAGGGACCCAACCCTGGGGCACCCAGCACTCGCCTGCACACCACTCCAGGGGAACTCCGGGTATTGCTTCTCAAACTCAGGGATGAACTCGTCATGGTGCACCTGGAAGACATGAGGTGCACATGCTGTGCTGGGGCCCACGCTGGGGAGGACAGGCTTGGGCCTGCTGTGACCTGGAGCTGCGGACATGCACAGCGGTTGGTGTTCAAATGGGGCTAAGCACTGGATCTGCTGTACCACTAGGTACAAGCAGAGCAACCACTCTGGGCCTCAGTTTCCTCCTCTGAAACCTTTGGGAACTGACTGCAGCTCAGGAGAGGCACTGAATGCTGCCTCGGGGAGGCTGCCAGGCCAGAATCAGCACCCAGCTCAGCACGGGCCTCAGCAGGGCCTGCCTATGTCATCGCACTGCACTGGCCTGGAAGTGTCCACAGGACAGCAAGACTCTCCAGGCCAAGATGCCACATAGGGGAGGAAGCTGGCTTGGGTTTCTTCCAGAAGACGTTCTGGGGCAGGCCCTATGGCAGCCCTGTGTCCACGCCCTGCAGGACGTGTGTCCCATTCACAGGATTCCAGATGCTTTATAGTGGGAGGGAGGGGGTCAGCGCCCTTGGGTGACTTCCAACGATGTCCTGGGTACAGCCACAGCTGAGGGACAGGTTCCTGCTGGGTGTGTGTTGGCCTGGCCACTCTGATGGGCACCTCCCCTTGTGGGTCTCCTCTAGACTACAGTGACCCAGAAAACAGGACACTGAGTCACACAGACCTGTGTGAATGCCACCTATGGACACAGCAGTCGCAACTGTTCAGGGATGTCCTAGTGTACCTGGGACTGATCCTGCACAGGCAAGGCCTGCTCAGCTGCCTGACACCCTTGCAGACCAACCAGAGCGTGAGATGTGTGTAGGGCCTGGGGTTCCCCTCCTGCGAGGATGCAGAGCGGCCTGGCCTTGTGCAGGTCCCTTGGAGCCACCACACGTGGGAACAGGCTTTACCTCCTGCTCTGCTCAGCTCCGCAGGCAGACAGCAGTGCCAGCCCTCACTGAGCACTGTGGGGCACTGCAGGGTACCATGCACCAGGAGGCACTAGGCATGCAGGAGACCCCGGATCCAGGTGACTCCTTGCCCGACCCTGTGCTCACAGGTGCTGTCGGGACAGGAGCCCCTTCCCAGGAGAGCCCTCTGCTCTGTGTTTGGCCTTCCTCACACCCGCGGACTGTGCCCCCCCCGCCACGATCGCCACTCTAACACCGTAAGGACCCTGAGGACACAGGAGCTGGTGTCACAGGCACCTTACAGACTGCCTCTGATGACTGCGACTGGGAACCCACTCCCTGGGCCTCACCAGTGCTCACCTGCTTTAGCACCACACCCGGGTCGTAGTTCATGACAGTGAAATGCTTCTCATAGTCATCAAGGTCACTGAGCTCGAAGGGTCTAGATTGTGACAAGGAGAGGGAGTTGGCCAGGAGCTCCAAGGCTCCACGCACCACAGCTGCACAGTCACAGCTGTCCCTGCTGCCCCCGCCCCTTGGCCCCTTGAGTAGGACTCAGCTACACTTGGGGTTAACTGTGAAGATTCCCTGTGGCCCACGAAATGTCCCTGTGATTCTCATGTGGCGATGGCTGTCACAGACACCAGGCACACTGCAGTGCAGGCTTTGGCTCTCGCAGGGGGCGGAGGACTGGGGTCACTACTGCTAAACTCCCAGGAGCACAGGGCAGACTCCAGTGCAGGCTGCCTGACCCACGGGCAAGGACACCCCACTCACTCCGGGCCCTGACCCAGAGACTCCACTGTGCCCAGGTACCGGTTGGAGAAGCGCAGCCAGAACACGTCATATGCGAACAGCCGCAGGGGCTTCACCGAGCGCAGCAGCACGATGTAGCGGACATCAAACTTGACACTGCCCACGTCTTCTCGGAGGAACAAGACAGGTCTCTCGATGTATTTGGACACAACCTAGAGGGCACAGTGGGCTCACCAGTGGCTCCCCACCTGGTGTGCTGGGCTGCACCAGCAGGGATCCTCCACGTGCACCCCCAGAGGAGCCCTGGACCAAGCGGCAACCCATCTAGGTGGTTGCAAATCTATGTGCCCTCACATCAACTGGAAATAAAAACCCCATCAGGCCTTCAGGTTTTGAAAACAGAAGAGCATCGCCATGGACCCGGCCCAAGCCATCTTCCAGCCTGGGCGCCCACAGTGACACCCTGGCATTCCCTTCCTCACAGCCTCTGCCACGTGCATGTCTCTGCTGGAGCGAGAGCCAGGCACATTCTGTGTCTTCTGATCCCCTAGTGATTCTGGGTGTCCTACTGCTGCCTGATCATCCTCCTACGCCCTGGGCTGGGTCCAGCCTTGCCCTCCTGACGGGTGGAGGTGTCCCCAGGGCCGGGACACGCTGGAGATTCTGAGGTCCGACGCACCGAGATGGTTCTGAGCAGGCTCACCACTCTCATCCGACTCCATGTTGGCTAAATCTGGCCCTACTCCCATGCGTGATGTGTACAGAGCTGGGCAGGGCTTTCCCTTTTCCCTTCAATCAGCTTTACGCAATGCAAATGGGCGCAGCTGAGGGGCTGATGCGTGGTCTCTGAAGCAAGAAGACGGGGCCGCGTCGCCCCACCCCACAGCTCCCAAGAAGCATGTGTGAGCTGGGCGGGAGGGAGAGCCGCTCTGTGCAGAGCCTCGAGCAGGCTACACTGCCAGGCGCGGTGGCACACGCCTGTGATCCCAGCACTCACGGGTCTGAGGCAAGAGGCTGTTGCAAGTTTGAGACCAGCCTGGGTTACAATGTAAGCTCAAGGCTGGCCAGAATCACATAGTGAGACCCTATCTCAAAAAGACAATAAAGAAATAATAATAATAAATTATATATCAAAGGTGAACATCAGCCCCAAAAGGCTAATGACCTCAAACCGTGTCACGCAGGTTACTCTTGCTGTGTGTCTCTCGGCACGCTGCCCGGACGATCTCAGGCCCCCTCATTCAGCGGCACTCACCTACTCCTCCCCATTCGCGCTGTCAGTAATCCCTGAGCTTAATAAAACCCAGGTTCTGCGCTGGCTGGGTCGAGCTCTTTGTTCTGGCTCGCCACCATCATGGCTGGACTTAGGCCCCCTGGGCTCCCCACACCTACAAATACGTCGGTATTCTCGCCGTTGGTTGCACTAGATGTGGTAGATTGGAATTAACTTATTGGAACTCGACAAATAGAACTTCTGAGACCTCGATGAGGACAGGGAAGGGTTCTGATGTGCCCAGGTCTCGACCTAGTGCCCCATAAGCCCCTACCCGTGCAGTGCCGAGGCCCACCTTGGGGGTGCTTTCCCGGTGCCGGATGATGCTGTGCAGGCTCCTGGTGACATGAGTGTCCAGGCTGCGGGCCAGGTTCCAGGGCTTGCAGATCCAGTGGTTGTCCTCACCCCTGGGGAGCAGGGCTGTTAGCTCGAGACCTGCCCCTCAGCAATGGGGCCCAGCCCCAGCAGCTGAGGGGCAGCCAGTCTCCCACAGACTGAGGTGCTGTGAAGGCAGCTGGGTTCTAGGGCCATAGGGTCATTTGCTAGGGGCTGTGCTTGTGTGGGGCAGAAACACATCATATCCTCAACGTAGTTGCTACTGATACCCCCGGTCAGTACTGCAGCGGGACACAGCTCAGCTTCCTGGGGTTTCCAATGCACTTTCAGCTTCACACACTGCCCTCTCAGGGGCATACTGCCCAGCCTCCCAGACCTGCTGAAATCTGGGTACAAGTCTAACCTCACAATTCTTCCACTCTGCATGCCTGTAAAACCAGCATCATGTGGGTGATGCCAAGGTCTGCTACTTTTTAAAACAGTAGCCAGGTCCCCTTGGGTAATGGCTGCAGAGGCCTCTGGGTGCCAGATGGATGGCTGACTACTGTGAACTAAATCCTGAAGAATTCATTCTTTAGTGGTACAAGATAAACTGCACTGGTATCAGGGGACTAATTCACTGATAAGTATAACAAGCATCTCCCTAATCCAATCACTTCCCCAAAGCCCCATCTATGAGCTCAGGAGGATTTGGGAAAACAACTAGATTTAAAACATAACACAAAGTTAAAAAAACAAAAACAAAAAAAAAAAAAAACAGAAAAAAACAAAACAAAAAACCTAAACTAAAGGTTGAGGCTACAGCTCAGCAGTGAGGACTTAAGGCCAGGCAGGGCATGGGGTGAGGCAGGTGCAGGAGGGTGACAGGATACCCTAGGGTCCCCGCTGGCCTGGTGGGGATGGGGTCTTACCGCCTCTCCCGTTGCTGGAAGTAGCTGATGAACTGCGGCAGCTCAGTACGCAGGTTGAAGGTGCGTGGCAGCCAGGCAGGGCCCTCCGGCCCCCCGGCGCGGCGTGCAATGGAGGCCAGGCAGTCCTTCACGGTGAGCAAGTTCTCGCAGGGGAACTGGTTCAGCAGCACGCTCGGCCTTTCCTGGCTGAGCTTCCTGTGGCAGAGGCAGGTGTGCGGGGCTCAGAGGGAGGCCCATGCCTCAGGCTCGGTCTAGGGTCCCCGCAGGCCGGGAGGAGCCCCACCTATAGTCCTTGAAGTGAGAGAAGTGGTAGAGGATGTCCGCTTCCGCTTCGCGTGTGGTGAAGGTGAAGCGGGGGTGTGTGAGGTGGTCCAGCACCTGCTGCACATCCGTGTGGACCCTGTGGGGAGCAGAGAGCGGGCTGGGGGCCGCCACGCCCCATGGGCATGCTCCTACCTAGGCCACAGCCCTCTGTTCTCTGCCACAGGATGGCAACTTTGTGCCCTTCTGCCTCCACCTCACACGGTGCCGAGACAGCGCAGGTCTGCTTAGACGTTTACTTAACGTTGGTCCTTTCCTCCCGGGGATATTCCAGGAACTCTGCCTTCCAAGTAGGGGCTGGTGCGAGGGACATCCTCTGGAAGCTGGGACAAGCAAGCTCACTGGTGCCCTGAAGGGGCCTGGGAGCCCCCCGCCAGGTGATGCAGATGGGGCGAGTGTGAAGGCAGGAGAGGCACAGGGTCCAAGAGCTGGGCAAGCTGGGCGCTGCCTGCCCGCATGGGCCAGTTCCAAGCAGTCAGGATGTTGAGCAAACATGGATCCTGCCCATGGGCCAGAGGACCATGGTGCGCCTCCATGTATCCTCTGCCTAGGAGACGTGGAAGGGCCAGGGCCAGGGCCCCAGCTGGATCTACATCTAGAGAAATGGTCCAGAGAGTGCCCAGACTGGGCTAGGCCTGGGCAGCTGAGCAGGGTGTCCAGGGGCCTTGAGGATGAGGCTCCTCTGAAGCAGAGGCCTGACCTGGTCCCAGAGGAGTAGGCTGTGCTCAACACAGCATGGGCGCAGTTGTCTGCGCCTCTACTTTCTTACCTGTGGAATGGGGGCGCTGCAGGATGCAGCCTGGGCTGCTCTGCTCTGCTCTGCCCTCAGGGTCTGCTGATTTCCGGAGCAAAAGGGCTGGGGTGCCAGGGTGTGGCAGCCACCACTTCTGCTGAGGTGCCCTACCTACTACCAGCGATCCCAGGCCTGCTCCTGTTTCTGACTTTCTGGGGGAGTTTAACACCTGCCTCTTCCAGGTGTCTTTCTTTTTTCTTTTACTTTTCTTTTTGTATTTTAGGGAAGGGTCTACAGGTGTTTAGGGTCTCACTACTAGATCAGACTCGTAGTGATCACCTGTTTACAGCCTCCCACATGCCTGGTGTATGCCACCATGCCCAGTCTCAATTTCTGTCTCAACACGCCCCAGGGGTGGGGCTGGCACAGCAGGCCCGGGGATTGAACCTCTGGCCCCTGGGCCTGCTTGCAGGCACTTTAATCCGCTGAGCTATTTGGCCGGCCCTCTCCAGGGGCCCATTTTGCCCCCTCTTCCTGCTGTTCCACTGCAGCACCACTGGGCGCCAGGCCCTGCTCAGGCGCCAGGAGCACGGTGAGCACAGGATGTGGTGGTGGAGGCCTGGCGTGAGCTGCATACCTGAAGATATGCTCTTGGGGATGGGGCGCCGGGCTGATGGCAAGAGGCAGCTTCTCCCTGTTCTCCTCCAGAATGGCCTAGAAGGAGACACGTCAAGGTAGAAAGAGGCTCGAGGACATGAGCCACCCAGCCAGCCACAGCCCCACTCGCAGCACCCAGCAGCCCCTGGGGCTCTGGCTTGAGGCTCCTCACGTCCCGGCTGGCTCTCCACTGGTGCTCTAAGACCAAGGTTTGCCTCGCCCTTCCTTGGTCTTCTCAACGCTACCACCACAGGAAGGCAACAGGAAGTGCAGCTTGTCCCTGTGACCACTCCCCGCCTAGGCTGCGGGTGGCGTAAAGCCTGTCCCTGAGTCCAGCCTGGGGAGCTGCCACTGCAGATGGACAGACACTGGGGCAGTGACCGGGCACGGCTCGAAGCTGTCACAGAGGCCCGCGTGTCCTCCTTGCCTTCTCTTGGATCACTCCTAGAAAAGGCGAGGGCTGAGGGCTCTGCCAAGGGTGGCCCTGACGCACCAGGCACAGGAGTACTACATGTGAGCGGAGCCCCCGCACTAGACACTGTGGCCCTGGACTGGGGGCCGAGAGCACAGGGCTGGGGCTGGGTGGGACACCGTGAGGTGAACTGTGCTGGGTTCTGCAGCCGCTAAGCTCTAGAGCTGTCTGCTACAGCACAGCTGAACAGCACAGGGGTACCAGGGCCCAGTGCAGGGCCAGGCGGGAGAACACGGCCCTGCAGACTAAGTGTCTCACTCCTAACTCTGCCCACATAGCGATGGGCTTCCAGTGACAAACAGCCTTGAGGCTAAGACACAACTGGCCCCAAGTCACCCCGCCCCGGTTTTGTGCCCACCACTTGCAGCCCAAGGGTCCCTAAGCACCCCCCACCCAGCAGGTGCAGGTGCAGGTGCAGGTGCAGGTGCAGGTGCAGGTGCAGGTGCTGGAGGCTGCGCCCACTCTGCACCATAGCAGGGAGGTGCCACAGGACAGAGCTCCAGCGAGCTAACCAGCTCCTGTCCCTTCACACCTTCCTAGGCCCTCAGACAGCACCAGATGCTCTGTCCCGGCCACGTGACCTCACACACAGGGTGCAGGGCTTGCAGCCTCTGCCATGGAGCTACTCCATGCCTTGGTTTTGGACTCCAGCTCTCCTATTGGCTGTGTGACTGACGCTGTGTTACTTCACCTCTATTTGCTCAATCTCAGTAAAATGAACATAACAGAAATGTAAGGTCTCGAACAGAACGTGCTCCTACCGCCACCCCTGCTGCCTGGGGCCTCAGACCCTAACGGGTAGCTCTTGACACTGGTCCTGCGTTCACCCTTGCTACCGGCTAGGCCTTTCCAACAGAGGGACCAGGGCTTTGCGCTCAGCACTGCAGAGGGCTCCCTGCCAGGGTGTGCTGTGTACTGGGACACGCATTGGCCTCCGTAGCAGAGGTCCCCACCCTTGGATTCAACCAACAGAGAAAACTGTTCACCGCCCAGAGATGGCTTAAAGTATTCGAGTGGACGTGTACAAACCACACACAGACACTGTACAAACGATTTGAGCACCTAAAGAATCTGGTATCTGTGAGGGTCCTGGGACCAGTTCCCCTCAATACTGAGGACCACCACAGGGTCAAGAGCACCGCCATGCAGCCTGATCCCTGGCAAGAAAGTCCGAGCTGCTGGCGTCAAGGGACCAGAAACAGGACAGGGTCCAGGCTGTGTGGCCCCAGCTGACTCCTGCCTGCGCTCTGAGAGCCTGGCCCTGGCTGGCATCCACTCTCATTGAGTGACCAAAGAACATTCCAGAAGCCACTAAGCCTACAGGCTGTGGGACGCCGAGGCAGGGCCACACCTGGTAATACTCAGCGGGCGGCTCAGGCGTGGAGGAGCTGAGGTCCAGCATGTCGGCGGGGGCCCAGGGCAGCAGCATGCATTTCCGGATCAGTGGGTCTGCCTCTCCGTAGGCAAAGTCCCGGGTCACCTCCTCTGCACCAAGACAGGTGTGCCCGTCAGAGGGGCACGAGAGGCCACCGAAGACCACCCTCTGGGCAGGCAGGCAGGCACTGGACTTACCGCCTGTGTCCAGGTCCCTCAGGGGCCACAGCAGCGTGTAGGCCACCTGCTGCGGCATGTAGAAGAACGGTGCCGTGGCGAAGCTGGGTATGTCGTTGTGCTGGATCCGTGAGCCAAACTCGTCCATGATGTACCACACAGGCACCTTCTCTTCGGCAGTCTGTGGGTGGGCACAGTGGCAACCCTTGTCCAGGAGTCCCCGCCCCTGCCCAGGCTTAAACTGCCTTGTGCCCTACAGCCAGCCTGTCCACCCTGGCGCAGTGGAAGCACCCAAGTGAATAATCAGGTATGGCTCTCCCCCTACACGCAGGGCCGTGTGAGCACTGTGCGGCCAGCTGTGTATCAGCATGGGCCACCAGGCCTCTGCCAGCAGCTACATGGATGTGTCTGGGCTTGTGGTATGCCATGTCTGGGAAGGCTCCCTGCAGGAGGTGGCACTGAAGCAGAATCAGGGAAGCAAGCATGTCTGGCACGGCGATGGCCAGGGGGGACCTCCGGGTGGCGTGATGAAGGCCCACAGCCATGCTGAGGGACTGTCTTCTCAAGGGCAGTGAGGACCCACCAGCTGATGGAATTAGAAGAGCAGGGTCAGGGCAGCCAGCTGTGTGGGTCTGAGTAGACTGCATTGAGGAAAGGAGAAAGCCGGGGGCCCTGGGGAGCACAGGTCACTCCCGGGCACTTGGTGGCTTACCCCATGGGCCAGCTGGTAGGTCTGGTTGAACTTCCACATCTCCTCCAGCACCTGCGCCACCACGTCCTCACTGGGCAGCTCGCCGTGGAACTCGACGCCCATCAGGCTGGCCATGCGGTGCAGCAGACCCGGCACTTGCCGCAGCTGCTGGCGTGCGTGCTCCACACGACATGTCCAGGCATGGTCGATGAGGAAGATGCTGCAGGCACAGGCCACACATGAGCTGCCAGGCAGGCGTGGCAAAAAGGGAAAGGGAGAGGAGGCCCAGCAGGGAGAGGAAGCCGGCAGGGCTGTGCCCAGGCCCCTGCACCCTATCCTTTCCAGTCAGCTTCCCCAGTGTGGTGGTTGTGCACAATCCTAGGATGCACTGGGCAGGGCCAGGCCCCTGCTAAGCCCTCAGTCAGTGTGGCTCCGACGAAGCCCTTCTTCCGCTAATCTCCAAAGTGTACAACAAGGGTCCCCACCTCCTGTGACCACGAGAATCCACCATGTGGGCCCAAGCATCTGGGATGCTGACCGTGCTAAGCGCTGTGACAAATAGCAGCAATCCTTGATGTTAACAGAAGCCCGGGCCTGTGCTGCCTTCCTGCTCCTCACAGGCCCCACGCATGTGCACCCGTGCACACAGGCAGACAGGTGCGCATGTCCAGGACTCCTGGACTCAGGCACTGCCTCGTTTCATATTTAGATGCCCCACCTCCCCAGTCTCTTTGGGAGGCGACTGGATCTTGGGGCGTGACACTCGTTTACAGCTCAAGACAGAGTTGGAGGTGAAGCCTGAGGGAGGTGGTACATCACTCTGCGTGGGGCCCGGGGCCATCTCCTCCCTCAATAGCCACTCTCTTTGCTGCCACGCCTCAGCCAGTGCCCTCCGCAGCAGCCCATGGCACCCTGTAGTGGAACCTGCCATCCACAGACTGAACCGTCTACAAACCATGCACCAAGATAACTGTGTGTCGGGCACTGTGTCTCAGCAGCGAGAGGGTACTGCAGACAGGCCCACAGCCCTCCCTACACCTGAGGCGGGCTGTCCTCTCATCCCAGGGTGGAGGAGGCTGCCAGGTTTCTGCCGGAGCCCTGTGCGGGCAGCGGGTTCAGGCACCTAGGACTCGGACAGGGAAGGCAGCACCTTGCTCGGTCTTCCCCTCAAAATGCAAGGAATGGCAAATGTCCAGTCCTTAGGCTCACATCGGGAGCGTTTCTTCCACTGTGCTGCTATTATGTTGGTTTGCATAGCCTGAGACAAGTGGAGATTTACTCCTGCTTTGTGCTGGGAGCAGTGCACAGAGCCAGGTCTTCCAGGATGTGCGCCCGGCAGGGGCGGGGAGAGAGCACGGGTGGCTGCACTGATGGTGCCGACGCGGCCCGGGACAGGTGGGAGGCCAGGAGAGCATGCCGGAGCCTGGCATCCCTGTAGCTCAGAGGAGCAGGGGAACGGCAGTTAGTGCATCAGACTCCAAACCCAGCCTGGCTCGGTGCCGTGTGCTGCAGGTGGGAGTGTCTGAGGACGGCCACTGTTTGGGCACCAGAAGGTCACAGAGAGGTGCCCCCTAGGACAAGTGAGACATGCTCTGTGGGCCTGCCAAGAGCCTCGGTGGAGACACTGCTGCCAAGCCATGGTCCAACAGGAGGTCAGGCCCGCCCGAATGTCACGAAGCACACAACCCATGCGCAGCCTTGTGGCTTACCTGTTGGGGTTGTCAGCCTGCAGCCCATTCTCGCTGGTCACGATGACCTTGTAGCAGGGCTCGCCCCCTGGGTTGGGCTGCTTCCTCCGTGCTTCCCTGGTGGCTTCCTCTTCCTCCTCCTCTGCCTCTTCCACCTGCATTATCCCAAACTTCTCACCGGCATCGAAAACCTGGGGGCCAGAGCACGGGTCAGCAGGGAGTGTGGACGGGGACCCCACCCCTACCCTCTCCCTGTGAGCCTGGACTCGGGCTCTGGCTCTCCATGGGCTATGACTAGGGCTCCAGGAAGAACTCTGCTGAGAAGCAGGGCCTAATTACACCCAATTTTTGCATAAAACCAGACAGGTAGGGAAACTGGGTCTCCTAAGGATGCACCTCCGTGCTGTCACCGAAGGCCTTGGCCCACATAGGATACCACGCTTGGCTGTGACTGCATATCCCTAGCTAGGTCTCTTCCTTTACAGGGACAGGAAAGTCCCAAAGGCTGAGGGTGGCTCTGATCCCTCTGGAGGCAACCAGGACTCAGGACCTCAGTGACCAGGGAGCATCTCCACTTCCTTCACCAGGCCTAATTTGACTGGAGGGCAGCTGACTGGCCCCTGGGGGTCTCCTGCCACCCACAAACCTTCTGGGTTCAGGGGACAGCCCCTAGGGGGTCTGGGGCTCTTCTGTTGGGGGGAAGTGTGGTGGGAAGACAAAGGCCTTAGCGCTTGGGTGTCCCTGGCCAGGGAACCCTAACCCCGGGTGCCACTGCACTGCCAAGGTGGGGACTCTTGGCTTTGCTGCTTCCCACGTAGGTGGGCCTTCAACAGTTACTCAGCCACTGGGCCTCAGCTTCCTCATGTGTTGGGGGAGGACAGGGCCCACCTCAGAGGGCTGCTGAGAAAATGAAATAAATGGTCAACACACTAACGGCTTGGACCAGTGAGTGCTCTGGCAGCACCTGGTCCCCCCATCACGCTTCAAGGCAAGCAGGGTGTCACCCGCCTTCTAGCACCACTGGAAGAAGGGGAGGAAACACTGCCACCAGGCCCTGGCCTCCCCAGGGACTCAGCAAAGGCTGGCTCCTCCCTAAAACCTCTCTCCACTCTGCAGTGGTTGGAAACCAGCTAACTACTTGGGCAGTGGCTGTGTGGGGGGCAGGACCAGCAGGCACTGTGCTAGGTGCCGAGGATGAATCATGCGTGCCCAGGCAGCGAGGGCAGGGCAGGGCAGGCCTTGTGAGTGTCGCTCTGGTAAAGTGCTCTGTGCCTGGGGCCTGGCAAGGCTTTCTGGATGGGCAGGCACAATCCGAGGTGAAGCCCTGAGCCCGCAGCTCTGGGCGATGGAAGGCGTTCTCTTGGAGAAGAACCCAGGCCTCACCCATAGTGTCCCAAAGCCTGCCTTCCACCCCAAACTTTCTGGAGGACACTGCAGACATGCGGAGCCCATAACCTCACCCAATGGGGCTGAAGGAGCTGCTGGGGAGGTTAACAAGGACAGCGGTTGCAGTTGGCAGCCCACACAGGGGGACTGGCAATTATTTAATTAATTTATTTGCTTAGTCTCTTTGAGACAGGGTCTCACTATGCAGTTCAGGCTGTCCTGGAATTCACAGGGATCCTCCTGACTCAGCCTCCCAGCGCTGGGATTACAGGCACGCACCACCACACCCAGCCCTGGCAGTTGTTTTAAAAGTTCCACCCACTCTTTTTTAAAAAAAATCTATGTATTTGGTACGTAGCTTGGACTTGTAGTGATCCTCCTGTTTTCACCTGCCCCAGTGCTGGGATTACAGGTATGCAAACCATGCCTGGCACTGCCCCCTCTTTCGGAGGATGTGACACCAGGGGCATGAGCTCCCTGCTGGTGAGCTCCCACGAACACCTGGCTTCCACACGGCTTCACAGAGACAAGGGCTGCAGGTCAGCGTCTGGCATCGTGGGACTCAGCCCTACCAGTGATGGCTCAGTAGATTAATGGAAAAACCCGCTGCCCTGGGTAGGGCATAGCAGGCAGGGTGGCAGGAGCAGCGGGCACAGCTAGGCTTCTTCTCACAGCTCTGTCCAGACCCTAGTCCCAAGGGAGCCAGAAGCTAATGTCACCACCCCTCGTGCCCACATAGCAACAGGCAAATGACCCGGCTGGGTGATGGTCTACTGCCACAGAGGCAGGCTGGGCAGAGGCAGTGTTCCTGCAGCGTCCTTTTTCTACCTAGCAAATTGGAACCCATTCAACAAACTGATGTCCTCTTCTACCCAGCGTGGGGCTGGGACACCAGGGCAAGTCCACAGAAAATGCTGCCACACAACACCAGAAGGAGGAGCCACAGTCACTGTACCTTTTATAAAACCCAGCACGGATGCGTGAGTTAAGTCCGATGAGTTATGACTGACAAACCCCACTGTAAGCTGGAAACACCTTAGGTCAGAATTGCACTGAACTAGCCAGGCGTGGTGGCACACGCCCATATGCCAGCACCATGGGAGGCTGGGGTAGGGACATGGGAAGCTCAAGCCCTGCGCTGGCAACCTACAAGATTCTGTTTCAGGAAAAAAAAAAAGGACGGGGATGCAGCTTAGTGCCAAGTCCCTGGGTTCAGTCCCCAAGACTGCCAAAGGAAAAATACATCGACCTTCCTCAGCATTTCGAAAGGCTCCTATTACCCATCACTAGCCCAAGAAAAAAAGCAAAATTCAAAGTGCAGCTCTTGTACTACCGGGAAATGCTCATCTGTATGTTTCTGAGCAGTAAGTTATCTGGCCGGAACAGGAGCTCCCAGAGAGGCTGGTGCAGCGAGGGTGGGGTGTACCCAGCAGCCAGGCCCAGGAGGTGCCGCCTTCTGAGCCTGACACCCAGCTCCCTCGCTGGGCCTGTAAGCGATGCCCTCAGGAGGAGCCTGGCTCCCGCTGAGGAAAAGGCTCCGCTGGTGGCCCTGAAGATGCTCTGACTCCAAACCCCCATCCCTCCGCCAGGATGAACGGGGGACCCCCGTGGAGAGCCAGGTCAGAGCGGGCAGGTCAGCAAGTGGGATCTGTACCCCCAAGGGGGAGAGCACTCGAGGTTTCTAAACCCTTTTTATTTTCCATTAGCTTCCTCTCCATCTCCCGTGGCCTGCAGTTTCCTTCATTTGCATAAAGGAGACCTGCTGCCCAAATCGGATGAAACAAGATCTGCGGCCCAACCAGTGCAAGCTACACAAAATCAAAAGCTCCTGTTTTCCCCTGGGAGTCACTGGTTGAAAGGAAGTTTCTGGGATTCGATCTGGGCGACCCTGGGCGAGTTCGGGCCCCTTTCTAAGCCTCAGTTTTCTCATCTGCAGATGGGGTTGATCAATTGTATTCCCTCACACTGCTACTGTGGGGCGGGACACAGCCGAAGAGCACTGATTTTACTGCCAGTTCCCTGTCCGGGCCCGGGAGGATCGGGATACTAGAACCGAGCTCTCGCTGTCGAACTCTAGCCCGCGTTAAGCTGCCAGGAAGCTGGGTCTAAGCCGCCCGCTGGCCGCGCCCACCCGGCCCGCAGCCGCCGCCCCGCGCCTTCCCGGAGGGCGCCCCCTCGCGGCCCGCACCCCGACCCCGCACCTCGTGCTCCAGCTTATGCAGGAGGCTGCCCCAGTACCGCTCCGGGACGCCCGAGGAGCGCAGCGCCGGGCCGTGCACCGCCGCGAACTGGGCCAGGGCCGACGAGCCCTCCTCCCGCGCCGGGCTCGGAACGCCGCACTCCCGCCCCGGCTCGGCTTCCATGGTGTCGCCGCTGCGGGTAAGGCCCTCCACTTGCTCCCGGGGCCGCGATCAGGGACACCACCCCGCCCCCTCCGCGGCTCCGCCCACCGCCCGCCCTAGCGCCAGGCACGGATTCAGTGAGGTTGCGTGCATCCGCCGTGCTTGCGTCAGCGTGCGTGCCCCGTCACAGACGTGCAGGTGCTCGGGAGGCGTGTCTTTTTCTTGCTTCCAAAAGCTGGCCCGGGGGATGCCGGGAGGGCGGGGTACGTCGTCCTACAAAGTCAGGGACAGCGACGTAAGCCTTGCTACGAGGTGCGGCTGCCCTGCCAGGATCGCGCGTTGACGTCTTGCAAAACCCCTGGATGGGAGGGATTCTGTGACTCTTGAATGCGTGGATAAATTTAAGGCCTTGCAAAATCGTGGCCCATGTCAATGTCCTTATATTTGGATTCAGAATGTAAATCTATCCTCTTAAAGATAGGTGCACCATCAGGCTTTTTTTTTTTTTTTCTTTACAACTCGAGGAGCTCAAAAGAGCATGAAAGAACTTTATTGTTCACCTTTAGTTTAGTTTTTTTTTTTTTTTTTTTTTTTGTAGTACCAGAGATTGAACTCAGGACCTTGCACTGCCAGACAAGTGCTTAGGCCGCTGAACTATCCCCCACCCCTAGTGTTCACTTGTGAATCTCTCTCTGGTCTTTCAAGTCTTTTGCGTTGGAATGTGTTTGTTTCTGTTGCAACTTCATAATATTTGCTTACTAAAAAGCTCAAGATCTTGACATCTGTGCTTCATTGTTGATTTTGATTCCAACTTTTTGAGCTGCTGGGGCTGTATCCCCAGTACTCTGGGAGGTGGATGCAGGTGGTTCACAAGTTCAAGCTCAGCCTGGGCCGTTTAGAGATTTAGTGAGACTCTCAAAATAAAAAAACGGCTGGGGATGTAGTTCAGTGTGATGGTTTAATCCTCTGCACTACCAAAAAAGCAAACGAAACCAAACATAAACCAACAATTACCCCACCCCCCATATATAAACTATATTTATACCAAAGAAAATGGAATAAAACCACTGCACCAAAGGTGTTCAGCTTTCCCTCCATAATCTGGAGCAGGCCCTGTCAGCCTCTATGTCCCACACATGTCTCATGTGCCCATTATGCATTGGTTATGAGCAGTCCCTCAAGTAGCCTGCCCTGATGAAAACTTGGGTGGTTGCTGATGAACTATTGAGAAGCGATTGAATTACAAGGGCTCTAACTTTTTTCATGGATTAATCCACCGCTGATATCATAATTTGATGCGGTCATTAGGAGGTGTTGGAAACAGGAAGTAGGGTCTGTGGAGTGGATCCAGGGGTGTGACCCTGGGGCTCCAGCTGGTTCCCAGCCCCCTCCTTACAGCTCCTTCCCTCTCTCTCCCTTTCCTGCTGTGGAGTAAGCAGCTGTCCTCCGCCAGGTCCTTCCACCATGGCAGCAGGTCCTCCATCTGCCTTGGAGCCGGCAACCCGTGGACTGAGCCCTGTGAAGTCGTGAGCCAAAACAGGCCCTGACTTCTTTCAACTGCTTATGTCAGGTCAAAGCAACAAAAAGCTAACACAACTCTTATCCTAGAACTTCCCTGAGGCTTTCTGCATCTTGCAGGACATAGAATGGGCACAACTCAAATCCTGCTGGGGCACAAGGATCTCACTGTGACTATTTAGTAAACAACAATATTGAAATTAGGCAACATTTATCTACTTCAGAGATCCGCTTATCACAGATCTCAGATCTGGTGATGTTATTTAACTAACTTTTTTTAAAAAATGTATTTAGGACAGGGCCTACAGGGTCTCACTACATAGATTGGACTTGAGGTGATCCTCCTGTTTCAGCCTCCCAAGAGCTGGGATTACAGGTGTGCACCACCAGGCCCACTCTCAGTCACCCTAGGGGCAGGGCTGGCACGGCACACCAGGGATCGAACCCTGGCTGCTGTGCTCAGCCTAAGCAGGCACTTTAATCCTCTGAGCTGTCTGGCCGGCCCTTAACTAAACCATGTATCATGACCTATACATGGTCTTGTGCCCATATAGTCTATAGGATACCTACTACAATTATTCTATTACAAGCTCCTATATGTCGCAGTATTTGAAAACCTGTTGTCTTTTTTTTTTTTTAATGTATTTGGTTGCAGGGTCTCATTATGCAGCTCTGACTCGTAGTGATCCTCCAGCTTTTACCCTCCTCAGTGCTGGGATTACAGGCCTGCACCTCTATGCCTGGACTCTGGCTGGCTTAGCCCACCCTGGGGGCAGGGCCGGCATGGCATGTGGGGCCAGGGATCGAACTGCGGTCTCTGCACTTGGCTAAGCTTGCCTAAGCAGGCCCTTTAGTCCACTAAGCTATTTCGCTGGCCCCCAAAAGCCTGTTGTCTTTGACACTCTCATCTTCTCAAATTCAGGAGTTTATCTACTTAAGGGACAGTCAGTCCTACTCACACTGGCTTAAGGAAAAGGGTATTTATTGGGTGAAAGAATTTCATGTGGGCTTCAGGTACAACTTGATCAAGGGGTTCAAAGGACAGCACCAGGATTCAGGTCTTCTGTCTTTTTCTCCGCTCTGCTCTTCTATCCTGGGCTTCTCCCACAGGCCATCCCCATATGGTGACAAGATGGCTGCAGTAGCTCTAGCCCACATCCTCCCAGGGATCTAGTCCTACTAAGGGAGGGCTCCTGAGTCTCAGTGGCTCTCTCAGGTAAACCTCCCCGATTAGGAGACTGTGATGGTCTGACTGAACAGGGCTGCTTTGACATGACCCTTCCAGCTGGCAAACCCACTGTGTTGGTGCTCTCCTTGAAATCTTCTCTTACTGTAATAAATACCTGAGATAATCAAGTTATGAGGAGGAAAGGTTTATCTGGGCTTCTGGTTTTAGAGGCTTCAGTCCATGGTCACTTGATCCTGTTGCTTTGGGGTTGAGGTGGCACAGTCCATCATGGAGGGGAAGAAGTGAGAGGAGACCCTGGTCTCCTCACAGGTAGTTAGGCAAGAGAGAGAGGGGAAGGGGTCAGGGCCTCAGTATCCCCTTCAGTGGCACCTCCTAGGGACCCAGCTTTCTCCTGCTAGGCCCCGACCTCTTACATCTCCATTGCCTCCCATAGCACCCCCTGGAGACCAAGGTGGGCCTTTGAAAAACATTCCAGAATATTCCAGATCCAAACTGTAGCTCCCAGGAGTAGCAGTCCAGCTCCAGGGCTCTGTCAGCATTTGCCCTGCTGACCTCCCAGCCTCTTCTCGCCACACTCTCCCCCACACTGCGGACCTCTCTGCGGTCCTCACCAGCCTCCAGCTCTCACTCTTCCTTTTGCCCCAGAGCCCTCGTCTGCCACCCGGACTTTTCCACTCACTCTGCAGCTCTCTGGGGAAAGGTTCCCTCCCCTGGAGCCTTTGAATGGGTAGCTAATCAGTATAAAATACTCGTCTGGATCTTCTCAACCCTCCAATGGAGAGTAGAGAGAGAGAAAAAATACTTAAAAGGTGAGGCTTCTTCTCTAAACGCTGAGAACTCGGGGTGACGTCAGGTCCCTGGAAGCTTTTTGAGCTGAGGGCACTTACAGGAGGTGCATTTTTCCTACACCGTGGAGCCGACCTGCGTGATGACGACATGGCGTCACCATAAGGAAACTGGTCGGCCTCTGCTCGGCCGCTCTTTGTTATCCTTGGAAATGCCTGACGGGGACAAGCAGGAGGTGACCCCACGTGCAGGGATTAAGCAGCTGCACTGCTGGGCAGAGACTGCATCACTTCATCTTCCAGGTACTTGAAAGGAAAATAATCCATTGAGTTGGCTGTTCATAGTTTCCATGCTTTAAAAAATCATAAGAATTTCCATGCTTAGGATCTCTCATTAGGTATGAACGCATGGTTCTTTAAATGGTGTTTATTTTTACTTGTTTTTGAGAATGAAAGACATAATGAAGAATTTTTTTTTTTTTCCTATTGGGGATTGGACTCAGGCCCTTCACACTAAACTACGTCTGTCCTTGTTATTTTATTATTTTAATCTATATTTTATTTTTACGTGTTTGGCCCAAGGCCTTGCTATGCTGCTCGGACTCATAGTGATCCTCCTGTTTTTAGCCTCCCCAGCACTGGGATTACAGACATGCGCCACCATGCCTGGTCTCGGTGACCAGCTCAGTGCACCTAGGGGTGGGACCAGTGCAGCATGTGGTGCTGGGGATCGAACCCCCGTCCCTGCACTTGCCAGACAGGCGCTTAGTCCGCTGAGCCATCTCCCCAGCCCCAGGAGTGCAGTTTCTGTGCAGCGTATTTTCAGTTTTCCGCAGGATATACCCGGGAGGCTGAGTCATGCTAAATGTGTGCTTTTTGAGGAACTGTCACACTGCTCTCCAAAGTGGTGGCACTATTTTATTTTATTTTAT